CTCCTAATGAAAAAAATTCTTCTTTTCGGATGTAAGTAGTGCAGTAGAGTTGAAAAAAGTATTTTTGCCCCGAAGGAGGTTGGAGCATACTACTTATCACAAATTGATAAACGCTTTTTGATAGCCCACTGGTTAAATTGAACATGATGTCCTCTAGATCGCAGAAAGTCATGAACTAAAAGAAATCTATTGAAACTCGAGTAAATACTGATTTCTGTTATCATATTACGAGTTGTTGCACTAAGGAGTTCCATTTACGCAACCAATTTAAAATGAAAAAGTGTAGATAGATATTATTATTACGCGATTCTTTGACGGCCTCGGTGGACTAGCAGTTTAACACACCTCCCTCGGTTGCGGGTTCAATTCCTAGCACGGAACAAACATGTATATTCATGAGTATGACTGTTTGTGTTCATTTGGGTGTTTTATATGTATGTTATGTCTGTATACATAAGCTCTGCTTCGCTTGGAACTAGATGGCGCTGGAGATTATTATTACCTTAATATAATTTGCACTGATTTTGATGATACCATGTTGCCAGATTACTAAATTAGTTACGGTTGCAGTAATTTTGTTCGTGGGCCAAGTACAGTTCAGCTAGCTAGTTTATATGAGAAGAACTGGCAAGAATTACAATTTCTATCTATATTTTTCTTTCTTGTTTTTTGAGATAAGAAAAACAAAAGTAATAATGGTTCTCAACTACCTAAGTACAAAATTGTTATGTACATATTAAGTGATATTACATACGTTGAGCTCTTTGATATGTGCCTATACAAATAGGTATGATAATTTCAAAAATTCATAGAAAGCCTACACATCTGGATACATATGGATACATCTGAATACATCACTTTAGAACAGTGGTTCTTCAACTTTGATGGCCCCTGAAGACTGTAATTCGATTACATTGTTTTGTTTGTTATTTTTTTAACAAAAGCAACGTAAAAACGTTTATAAAAACTATAATATATTTCAGATTGATTGTTAGTATTATATATTATTTTCTGATTTATTTTCACATAAAGAAAATAGCTTGATAAAGGACAACATAGTTAAAGAAAAAATATATATTACCGGCTTACCCCGCAAATGTTGTTTCGCCATATAAATTAAAATCGTTATTAAAAAGTAGGGGTTGATGGTAGTAGGATGAAAATTTAGGGTTGTGTTTATTTTTTACTGCCATATTATATTTGTTTTTTTGTGAATAAGCGGGAGTGTCCCTATTTTTCATAAAGATAATTAGATTAAAAATATTAATAGGAACCGATTATGAGAAACGATTAAAAAATCTCAAATCAATAAAGTCCATTCACCATCAGTGAATACATATAAATATATATTACACATGAAAACCAATCAAATAATCTCGTATATACCTATTTGTATTTTTATAAAAAAACCAAACTAAGCTATAAAGTAAATGTATGTAAAAGAGTACCCTATCCCTGAATGACTATGAATACAATCCTGACTCACTATGCTGTCGTATAAAGACTGCAATCATTTAGCCGATACAATACACAGAAAATGGTTACTCTGCTCAAATTTCAAAATATGTTTATTCATGTAGGTATATTAGACTCTTAATGACAAAAAACTCAGCTAGCAATCTTTTCAAATAAATGTTGTAGTTCAAAAAGCCTAATCAGTGTTCATAACCTGAATAGACCAGTCCCCACAAGCAGCATACGTTCACGAGTATGACGGATGAGCCGGCCAACATTGTATTCAATAATATTAAAGAGAGCACATTGACTCGGCCCACCACGCCGCCACAAGTTTGAACTTTATAGCGAGCATGACCGTTTCAAGTTACTCAACTAGGTACGTCATTTATATTATTTACAGCATAGGCAGTAAAAATCATAGTTAATTTTAAAAGCCCCGGGTAGAATACGGTCACTGCGGAAATCGCTTTCGGAACCTCTGCTTTAGACCTCTTTATTAACGTCAAGATTGTGTGGAGTATAGCTCGCTTACATTGTCGTCGACTGGACATTATCAACATGTGTTATCGAAGGGTGTAGTACATATTAGCATTGATAAAGACCTAGTCCTCAGGCAGACGGATGCCTAGATAAGATACGGGTCTTGACAACAATCTCCTGTTCCGTTTCTACTTGATTAATGATATTCAGTTTACATATGGGTGTAGTGTGTATATTACATTGTTAATTCAATATTTATACAGGCACACAAGGACGCATTGCAAACGATGAGATTTTCACGAATACTACATGGACGCCTCATTATTCATACTAGTAGTCGCCTTGTGGTCGAAATTCGACCATAATTAACATAACATTCAGTAACACTATAGAGTACTATAGAGATTTTTTTTTCCCATATTCGTCCATCTCCTTTTCAGTGATGGAACAGGCAAAGATCCTTAGACCGTACAGCCTAGTCTACGTTTAAACTTGTACTATAGATAAATAATATTAATCTAAATTTGACCACAGACTTTAATAATAAACAAAAGAGTATATATGCGTATGTGTCAAATATGTATAGGTAATGTTTTATTTTCTTGATTTAATATATTTTTCACGCATAATTAAAAAAATATATCATTTTGCACTCCTCTATATTGATCGAAACTGCGACGGCCAGTGCCTAGGTTCGAACCCCTAGCGGTGCCCTCAGACTAGTCGTTTCCGTCAGGAGTTGACCTTCAGTCGAACCCTATGTCCTTTTGCCGGGTTTGGAGTGCCATCTGCATTCGTTCCGTATCGTTCGGTAAAGCTGTAGCCAACAGTATTAGAATTGTTCGAAAACAAAGAGATATTTTGTGAATAAAATCTGTTTTTATTAACGCATACATAATGATTTTGTAATGATGTATCTAAATTTTTTCTTATTCTCCGGCGAATGTATCTACTTCTACCAATTTGTTATTTGGCCCTTCGTTACAAAATAACATTATTCATAAGTAACGTTATTATACCTAAATATAGGGGAGTACGGATTATATGCAGCACAATGAATTTATGTCAGCTAATAACGATCTAGTTAATTTGATAACGGTCCCGTATCTATAATAGGTACGTGGGTGACAATGCATGAGCGGTTAGCGGATTTAACAAAACTACAGCTAGTTAGAAATTAAAAGAGATTACAGACAATATTGAAACATATATAACTATATTCTAAAATAACTAATATATTTTTGAAATATTAATATTATTTTTTCATTAATTAAATATAATTATGTTTATAATGTGATAATATTTTAGGCATCTGTTAGCAGATTCAATAAAATGTTCATGCATAAATTTTGCACAGTTTTAATCAAAGTAATACAAAATATTTTATAAGTAATTTTAATATATTTCATAGGCGTTCACTGGCTACGGTAGGAGTTTACCATCAGATAGGCCGTATGCTCGTTTGCTACCGTCGTATTATAAACAAAAAATCTACTTTAGTGGAAATATTTGACGAAATATATCAAATAGTACTGGAATCTCAACTTTTTGTACCTACTTATTCGTAGGTACAAAAAAAATTATACCAAATGGAATATAATCACCAGCTTTTGCCCCATTATATAGGCGGGATGCAGCACGGCACCTTCATCCACTCTTCCTATCGCCTGTTATACATAAGCTTACTCTCTTTTTATGAATATTCCTTTAACTCACGTTCATATTAAATACTTTACCCATAACAAAGTGAAATTTATAATAAAATCAATTATCTTACATTGCTACTGCTTATGACTTAAACCATAAACAGCCACTCGTTCAATTCCTAAGCAGGAATTAATTAAAAAAGCTCACGAGCTTTATTTCCTATAATATTCACTTGTACCGCAGATTGTGGGGTAGGCAGGAGTTATTGAGACGCGCGGCGTGTGGTTGACTGCTTTAGTTAAATGAATAACGTCCGCTCCGATCCACTAAGTAATTAGGATAAATTGTTTTCGGAAACAATAAACGTATAAAAAATTCTTGGTAATAACGGAATTAGTGATGTGCGGAATTGTTGAATGTCCACTGATACAGATAAAAATAATTATAGTCAAGATACGCGAATAAGGATATTGTACTTTGCCTTTTTACTTAACAGGTGCGCGTGTACGTAAAACAAGAGTTGTCGCTTATTAATTCACATTATTAATCGCTTGCTTACATTTCAAACTCACTACAATACATCTTTTATATATATTTTTTTAATGTAACTAGACATGAAAAAAATATTAATTTGCAAAAATTTTTATCGTATTTCATTGCTGCCTATAAGCATTTCAAAATCATATAAACGGATTTTTAATAATATAAAAATTCGTTGAAGAGTAAATAAAGGATATAGAGACATGTTCTTTCTCTCGATATCCGGTGGGATACTGTACGGATACGAGTTGAAAAATTCCAGCACATCACTATACCGGATATAATTAATGAAAAACGTGAAACTGCTACTAAATTAATATTAACTGTTAATATAATAAATATATTATACACTCAATTATAAAAAAAAATTTGAAACATTGTCAATTTAAATTTTCTATACATACAAATATTTATTTATATGACGATAATGCTATGGTCCATACCCTGCGCTAACGATGTACGCAGGAGGGTAATCATCACCAGTGGAAGATAATAGGATGAGGATGGAATCAGGTCAGTTAGCCTATAGTGGCAAATTGACCAGGTATTTTACAGAGGAAATTGCTTGGAGGTCTACCTGATATTGTAAATTGCTATCTATGGGGTCATAAGCCACATTACTAAAACCTCCTCCCCTCAGGCCGCCCTTTGTTACGTCTGGTTTGCACAGCTTTGTTTTTTATTTATTTGTACTATTTATGATACTTCATTTCTTACTTCATCATTACATTAAAAATATTTAAAAAAAATGGGCGCCCTGAAAAATGATCTCTTCCAGTTCCTTTTTACCACATCTACCTCGTTCGACTATATAGTCTGATGTTTACAGAGAAGGAATAAAATAAAATACCCTATACAATATATAAAACACTTTATTAAAGTCGTAACTTAGATTCGTGCATCGTTAATATCTTGTCCACTTCGAGAGCTCGCTCTTTCAGTGTTGCCATTTCTTCTGCGTTCAATATATTGCTTTTTTTATTTATATTCTTTATTAGGAAGTGTTGTATAAATAGCCTTATGCTTTCCCTGAACATGTGGAGCTTCGGCGGCTTGGATATTCTGTGGAAGACTTCTAGAGACGATTGTAGATTTTCATTCATTATGATAGCTAATAGTATTTGTCGCATGAACCGGACGCTAGCTTTATTAAGGTCTGAGAATTCGATTATCTGTAAAAGATTTAATTTCTTTTATTATATTTATATTAAAAGAAAAAAATTATTCATCTTTACATATTATAAAACAAAGTCGCCGCTGTTGTCTGTACGCTTATATTTTTTAAATTACGCAACGGATTTTAGTGCAATTTTCAGAAACAGATAGAGTGATTTATGTAAATATGTCATTTATATAATGCATACAATGGGATTACTAGGAAGTTGTTACCTTTAAAACGGAAAGCGGCAGTCCCTTCTCCATGATCAGGTGTATGAGAAACTGCGCCAGACTGACGCTGCTCTGTTTCAATAAACTGTCCAACTCCTTTATCTTGTCCCACACTGAATATTGTATGGAGAGCTGTAATTAGAATTATTGATATATATGAATCATTGTTAAGAAACTCTTTTGATATTAATATATTTAAAATTTATTTTTGTATCCTATAATCAAAAATATAAAAACAAAATTATATAAGATGCCACTTTCACTGGAAAAAATGTGTAATTACAATATAACACACACATTTTTACAACAATTATACACTAGAATGTGTGTAGCTAAACTTCTTTTTGTTGTAAATAATTTTAATTGAAATTCTTCAATTTATTGAACTTTACATAGTATAAAATTAAGTAATTTCCGCTTTCTGTTCGCTTATATCTTTTAAGTGCGCAATGGATTTTAATGTAATTAGCAATAGATAGAGTGCTTTAAGAGGCAAATTTGTATATATAATACATGTGCACCCGTGCGAAGCCCGGGTGGGCAGTTATGATATTTTTTACAGATTAATTACCCATAGTGTTAGTTACAATTTCTTAAAAAGTTAGCAAAACCTAAGAAATCATTTGGAAGTTTCATTGTAATGGGATTGGATTAACAATAATATGACACCTGAAATACAAACAATTTTTTATTTTTATATATATAAAAGAACCTGTATAGAACTGCACTATGTTCTATTATAGAACGTGTTTCTAATACTACACTTACAGGCTCCTATCTGATTTGTCAGGGCAGGGAGTTAATCACGAGTCGTGAAGGTGAGTGTTGACGTACATTGTCAAGAGCCCCTTAGATATACACCCGGTTCACAAATCCCGGGAAATGCTCGCAGTTTACCTCTCTACCACACGGTGAATACCTGGAATACTCAGTACTTCTTTTGATTGCATCAGGAGGTACAAGACTTACTTTGGATTAACATATCATGAATTAAAAAACTTACCTGATATTTCCTATCTGTGTCGCATAATTTTTGTCCTAGAACTGCATAATAAGGATTATAAGTTCTCTCCTGTAGGCAGCAAGCTAGAAGCACATGGACTATCTCTCTCTCTTGTTGCCCCCTTAGGCCTAAGTGCTGGAGCTTTTCAAAGGCATCCATATAGTCCTAAAAATTGACAAATATAAAAATCTTGACTTAAAGATATACAAAGACGGCCTCGGTGGTCTAGCGGTTTAGCACACCGCTTCTGATAGTTGCGAGTTCGATTCCAAATTCCAAAGAAAATTTCATTATGTTTAACAAGATTTACTGCGTCAAATTTAGAGATCAATTGAAGCCTTTTTAGTCATCATTGTAATAAAATCTTTTACGGAATAGTAACACTTATTCAATAAAAAAAATGTTTTCAGACTAGTTGAATATAATAAGTATGTATAATTCTAGGGATTGTAAATGATAATAATATATTCTGTAGGAAAAAAACTTTAAATTCATAGCGCTCACAATATTATGTGATTGCACTAAGAATGAGGGCGTAGCGATTTCTATATTGATTATCGCATGCCTCTTACTTGTTATTGTGTAATTATTTATTTAAAAAAAAACATTTATACAAAAGAGCAACACACAAGTTTCTTGCTCATTCTTCTTGTCAAGACTCTGCGTTAGGAATGAGTGGTAGATTAAAAAAATATGACTATTCAAAAGTGCTCATATTGAGTTTATTTTAATAAGGATTATTTCTATTTCTATAATTTATAATAATACCTCAGCAGACATTATGACACAGAATATGCTTCTCCTGACGTCGGTATTCATCCTCTGCTTCCTTGCTAGTTCTAGAAGCTTCTGGTCTGTGCTGCCAGGTGGTTTCACAGTTGATTTATCTTCTGCCCGCGTGTGATTGCCCTCCCACGCCGAGCCTACCACCCACCATTTTCCTTTCTCGTCCGCTGTAATTTTTATATACAAAAAATCAAGTTACTAAGATTTAATATACCATTAAAAATATTCATGTTATCTACACGTAAATCTCGACGGCCGCAATGGTCTAGCGGTTTAGTACACGGCGTTAATTACAATGGTCGCCGGTTCGATCCTCGTATGGTGCAAACATTTGTATTCATGGGTATGATTGTTTCTATCGGATTGGGTGTTTTCTATGTATATTATGTATGTATTGACAAAAAAAAATTATGTCAGGTGTCTAGTACCAATAACACAAGTTTTGCATTATTTTTTGAAGAAAGAAAAACATTTATTGTCAACTATTATTAACAAATATACCTATTAAATACTTATACGTATTTTACTTTACTTTCTATATAAACAATATACATTATACATACATATACATGTATATATACACGCACATATATACATATATGTATGTATATATACACTGATATTATTTATTGTTATTATAAATAGCAAAGATTTTCCATACCTAGCAACAAATCGTGTAAACTGATCCGCAGAGGCGCTCCGTAGTTGCCTCTTCTAATGGCCACGCGTGCTTGCTTCCGCAGATGTTCGCCATACGTCGGCTCGTAGCCGGGTATTTTGTTCAGGTTATTATTCTTAACCGCCATCAGTACTTCGAGCAGGAATTTTATTCGGGAACTGAAATAAATTCATCATCATCAGTCCACTGCAGTCCACTGCTGGACATAGACCTCTCCCAAGGCCTCCTCTGCCAACCTCTCCACTAGGCACGATTTTCAGCCGTTCCAATTATTACCCGCAACTATATGTATGGCGTCGCTCCACCTAGTTGCAGGGCGTTGTATACTACGTTTGTCAATTCGCGGTCTCCACTCTAGAATACGCCTACACCAGCGAGCATCGGTTCTGCAACTGATATGACTGGCCCACTGTTAGTTCAACTTACAGATACGAAGAGCTATGTCAGTGTCCTTAGTTCTCTGGCGAATTACTTCGTTTCGGAGTTTTTCACTCAGAGGAACTCCAAGCATAGCTCTTTCCATAGCTCGTTGATCGATTTTGAGTTGATGAACCAGTCGTATCGTCAGTGTCTACGTTTAGGCTCCGCACGTCATAACAGGTAGATAAGGTACCTTCAAATAATAATCTAACTCATAGATTACCGTAGCTACATGAACTCTATGAAGATGACGTTACCCATCAGCAGAGCTGGCAGTCAACTTGGCCACCTTCGCCTGTGTCTCGTGTATGAAGTTCTTCAACGCCAACGGTTCTTCCTTCCTCAGCACGCCGCCAACGCTCCGCAGCGCTACCAGCACGCATTCTATATTCTTCTCTGATATTTCATCCAGGAGTCGTCCGAGGATGTCGTATAGTAAACTCGCGTGGTAGATCTGTAATTAAGCTTTTACTTATATAGATACAGCATACATATTACACATACAGCATTCGTTCGCGTGGTAAAAAAAAGCATTTGCTATCTGTGAGTGAAAATACCGTCAAAATAGGTCCAGCCCTTTCAAGAACAAACAGACAGACAAAACTTAATTTTTTTTTTTATTAACTACTCTTTTTTTATTTATTATAAATAATCTCAGGACAATTCACACAGAGCCATCTAGTCTCATGAATACAAATGTTCGTGTCGTGCGAGGAATCGAACACGCCACCATCGGAAGTAAGGCGGTATGCTAAACCGCTAGACCACCGAGACCGTCATTCGTTTTCCCAATATATAAAAGTCGCTGTTGCTGTCTGTCCGTCCCTATGTATGCTTAAAACTTTAAAACTACGCAACGGATTTTGATTCAAGAGGAAGATTTATATATAAAATACATGTACACACGTGCGAAGCGAAGAGTAGATAGTACACATATAAAATAAAACTACAACATTATCCAATTGGTTTACCTTGAAACAATACAAATGTCCCAAACATGAGACTAAGTTATCTAATGTCTTGTCCTCCACAGGTTGCGGTTTTTGCATCATCACGTCAAATTTCTTACACAACTCCTGAAGGAAATGAGCACCTGAAATATTGATTAATAATATATATATATAGAATACAATATATAGAAACTATGCCCGAGACTTCGTCAGCGTGTTGTAACCTTGACCAAATTAAGAAAAAATATTCAATAATATCCAAAAAACTCAAACAAAAAGTTTCATCATTCTAGGTTCAAAATTGACGATAATTTTTATCCCCTATTTTATTTTACCCCCTTAAGGATAAAATAAAAATTTTCAAACTTTGAATGTAATAATTATTTATATCTACTCAACAACCTAAAAAATAAGTTTCAAGATTATAGCTTTAAAAATGACGATAATTCCATACAACCTTTCAAAAAAAGGTGGTAGGAAGACATAAGGGCAGTGGAGAACATGGAGAAGGAAAGCGTTGGTCATAGGAACATGGAGTCTTTAGGAGGAGGCCTATGTCTTAGGACAAGCTGATGAACGAAGCAGTGAAATAATAATAAATGAAACCAACTTCAATTTTACAACAGAATCCCTGTTAAGGAGCTCCGTAACCGTAACCGCAACTATCGGATATCCGATATAAAAAATATCCGTAAACGTAACCGAATCTGAAATAAAAGTTTCGGATAATATCGGATAGGGGCGGAGCCTAATTGAGACATGTTGTGTAATAATTTTATTAGTTATTTGTATTTTACTTTTGAAATTCCTTAAAAAAATAATATTAGCTGAAATTATCCGACACTAACGGATAATCCGAAATAATTTCATATCCGCATCCGTATCCGGTATAATAATCATTCCTATATCTGAAACCTATCCGTATCCGAAATTTCATATCCATAACATCCCTGCTTTACAATCAGCTATATATAAAATAAAAATAAAATAGATAATAGATTATATTTTTATACAGTTACTTACCAATTTCAGTGGCAACATTAGCGTGAAGTATAGACACCAGAGCGGCATGTTCGGCAAGCATTCTGTCGGGCGTGTGAGAGGGCGCCACCGTTGCTTCCATCCACAACTCGGTCAGGGCCGTGTTCACAGAATTTCGACTGTTATTCGAGTATAAGTTCTCTATTGATGTGCACGCCCAGTGGAGATTTGTGCCGGCCAGCTTGTTGAGGACACCTGGAATATAAGGATTTTATACATTACCAGCTGATCCCGCAAACGTTGTTTCGTCATATATTTTATATACATTATTATAAGTCCACGCGATTAATATTTTATTAGTAAACAATGTGCATGGATAAATGAAATTAAAGTGTCTGTTTGTAATTTCAAATTAACAGCTTTACACTACGTGTATATGAAAGTATATACGATAGTTACATAAAAAAATAATAGTTAACATTTTTGTCTGTCTGATTCATTTTGCTAATATCTGAAACAGATCTTAACGGGATTTTCATTTGATATCTAATATTATAAGACATACATAGACAACTTTCATATTACAAATTTTAATAAATAAAAAAAAATAATAAATTCATCTGCTTTTTTGAGATAGAAATAAACAAAATATCGCAGAAATAATAATTTCTGTGATATTTTGTTACAAATTTGCGTTCCGAGCAGGGCAATTCATATAGCGCTATTTAGTCCCAAGTTAAGCAGAGTCTGTATGACGGGTACTGAACAACAAATATTTAAATATGACTATTATACATATTAATAGAAAACCTGGGTGTTTTCTAGCACAAACAATTGTTCTCATGAATACAAAATGTTTGCATTGTGCGAGTAATTGAATCCGCAACCATCGGAAGTAAGTCGGTTTGCTAAACTACTAGACCATGACCATCGAAACTATAAAAGAATACTTAGCATACTTTTGATCTGTCGTTTCAGTAGCGCCAAATCTTTTGCAGACGTTGCATCTTTATTCCTTAAGTGTGGTGGTATGTAAATACCCTTTTCTTCCTGAAATTACATTACAAATATTTGCTACTATAATTTATAAGACAAAATTGAATTAATATGCAATAAATTATACCAATATAAATTCTATTTTCTTTAAAAAATATAAAATCTAATTGTTTTAAGAATGCAATAGCAGAGTTTCAGATGCCTTTATTCCCATAATAGTCTGTCCAATTACTGAGCCATTTACGTTATTTTTTTAATATAATAAGAATGGTAAACAAGGGTATGTATATGTCACATATACATACACTTGTTATCTATACATGCTGTCAATTTAATTTTATGTATGCTATCTAATGCTTGTTAGTGTCAACAATATCTGACAGACAATATTTTACAAAATCTGCCTTGTTTAGATATATCTATAAAAAATATCACCTTTATAACATTTCCTTCTTTGTCCCTCTTCCTACCATAAATATCTTCCCAGACATCAGGTTTTTCTTTTGCACTATCATTATTATGATCAATGTCATCATCACCAGAGAAGTCACCCATGTCATCATCACCTGATAAATGTGACACTTCATCATCACTGAACACTTTACTTAGTTCCTCCTCCGAAATGATCTTCTGATTACTACTAGATTTTACTGATTTTGAATTCTTAATGTTATTTTGTTTGCTGTCTTTAGAAGTTTCATTTTCATTTGGCTTTTTGGACTTTTTTGATTTAGTCTTCACTGAAAATAGAGAGAATATACATTACACATTATACATTACATTCTCTTTTCTGTATAATACAAATACACATTTTATTTGCATTATACAGAAAAGAGAAAAAACATATTTGAACATTTATCAATACATCTGCATAAAGACAATAATAATAAGGCAGCATTACTGCTACAATTTGGGAATAAAATAAATACCAAAATGAGACAAACATGCAATGTTACATTTAAAAACAGTATTAGAAAAATAATAATATGGAATTTCATAATAATATGGAAACAATAAATAATATTCAATATAAACAATACATTCATTTTCTAAAGCTTTTTGTGAAGGTTGAAACAAAAATTAAATTAATTTAAGATGTTATGTATGCTATTGGAAGTGGAAAAATGACATGACAAGCTATGAATATGATTTTTGTTGTGAATATTTACAAAAATGAGGAAATTAATGTGAACACAATAGTTTCAAGGGTAGGTTTTTCAATATATTGCATACAGCCTTACATAATTTAGTTTTGTAAATTAAAGTCAGGATTTTGATAATAAATCAAGTTATGTAGTTTCAATCAACTGTATGTTAGTTACCTTCTGATTCATCAACAGACATTTCTTCTTCCCCTATATCTGACAAATCATCACCACTGTCATATTCACCAATATCATCATCACTATAATCTGATTCCTCATCATCATTGTCAACATCAGATTCTTCACTTGAACTCTCCATAGATTCTTTATCCTTTTTAATGTTACTTTTATTTTTTTCTATTTTATTATTTTCCTTTTTTGTATCAGGTTTATTTCCAGTTACCATTGCTAGATCCTCATCAAAATCGGATTCTCCTTCAACATTAGCTAAATGCTTCTCAGCTGCCACAATCTGCTCTGATGTTGTTCTATCACATATTTCTAAAAGATCTGGCGATTATATGGTTAAGATTAATTAAAATAAGAGTTACAATGATTCATAGAGAAACATTTTATCGATTCACAAATACAGTCCAAGGAGGATTCAAATTTGAAAATAAAGCAAAATTCAGCTATAGAATACAGAAATAAAGGTTCAATTAAGAAAAAACCAGTGTAAGTTAGCACTGTTTGTACCCATTATATTGCACAATTGGACTACTTTTTTTTGTTAAGACTAAAAACAATTTAGTTATTATCTTTGCTTTACTATAATAATAATATACTATCCCTGAACAATTCACACACCGCCACTTAATCCACGGTAAGCAGAGCTTATGTTATGGGTACTAGACAATTGATCTAATATTTTAAATTTTTTTGTATAATATGTACCCAGACCAAAATGTTTGTACCCTGTGAGGAATCAAACCAGAGATAATCACAAGTAAAGTGGCTAGAACACCGAGGCTGTCAGGCAAAGTATTTGACCATTAATAATAATATAAATAAATGATTGATGTTCTACTAACTATCTATGTATGTTTGCAAAGGATACAATCCAGTCCATCATCAGTAAAACGACTAGTTTTATTTTTAGACTTATTAAGTCCTAACTGTTTTTCCAATTTTTTTATGATCTTGTCCTCTTCCTCATTAGCATTAAGAAGTATTTTCCTTCTCTGTTTGTCCATTTGGTCTTTAAGGCGAACAGTTTGTTTCTTTTCTTTTTCTATCTCTTTAGTGAGAATGTCTTGGATGGAAGGTTTATGTTTCTTTGTCTGTAAAAAATAATACTTTTAGATCAGAATAACTATAGTATAGGATTATTTAGATTGCCACCGTACAACTAGATAACTCCGTATAATAATAATAATAATAAATGCCTTTATTTACTGTTAACTTTACAAATTTATACATGTGTTTAGGCAGTACTGTGGTCCTTAGTTTAGTTATTAGTTAGTCTATATTTATTTATTTATTTTTTTCTCCACATCTGATTGTCAACAGTCTGTCATGTGACATAGGCCTCCTCCAAGTATTTCCATAGCGTTCGGTCTCTTGCAATCCAAACTTTCCCTGCTACCTTCCTAATGTCATCTTCCCATCATCAGAAGCAGAGGCAGAAAGACAAAAAGATGGGAAGATATCTCAGAATACAATATCATAAATGAAATAAGAGAAATCTAATAGGAACACCATGGTTACATCTACAACCCTATTTTTAAAAAGGCAATTGTAGTATTATGGTGTCTTTATAAATTTAATAATAATAATAGATTATTGGATTACATACTTAAAATTTCACTCAATTTACGTTTTAAAAATGTAATGATAATAAGCGTTTTATATTTTTCAATATTTTTTATAATACAACAATATTTATTTAAAATTGTAATTTCAAAATATGTACATAAAATAATGGTTAGCTAATGCAATTAGTATATACTAATATAGGCTGAAAACATAGCACAATAGCAGAAAATGTTGATTATAAATAAAAAATTAGGAGTTTATTCAACAGGTATATAGAGTTTAATTTTTTCAATTAAATAAAATTGCTTTATAACCTTGACTTGCTGAACATCTTGTTCATCATCTGCTGGTCTTTTCACAAATCTTCCCGGTTCGTAAGTCACTTTTTCTTTTAGAGTTTTCTTTTTCAAATAATGTTCATGTCGGTGTAACTTTTTCACTTGTCGCTTTTGTTTACGTATAGCTTTCCGGGAATTAACTAAATTCTGATGTGACCCTTTGTTATTGTTCTTCATTTTCTATTATATGTATCATTAGAAAATCTTAAATTAATTAAGTTCATGGAAATAAAATTATAATGTGTAAATAAAATAGAATTGGAGGTTAGGATGTCAAACACCAATGTGTCAGAATTGACAGATTAGAAATGACTGACTGACATATTAATACTATCACCACAGATTATGTAAAGATTTAACAGTGTACAGATATTGACGCTCAATATCGCACAAATATTTCTTTTTTTTTTGTAGTGTATATGATGCTCTGTGATTCCAGATCGGGAAAGTCCACCCAATATAGGGGATTTTTGTGACAAAGAGATAAATTTGGAGAGATAATCCATTTAAAAATAAATAAAAAACTTTAATCATGCTTCATATTAAATCAATAATTTAATAAGAATGATAATGTTTTTATTTCTATTGAAGTTCGTTAGAAGCAATTGAACATGATAGCGCTTTCTAAATTTTGTACAGCGACACCTAGTGAGCACTGAATAAACCAAGTTATCTATTATCATAAATTTCCTACAAACAAACAGAAATTGACTTTAAACTTTTAGTCTACTATAAACTTTATAATTTTCAAACGCAATTTCACCGTTTTGATATAGCCAGCTCACCATTTTATTGATTCAAAATCTCTATTAGACTAACATCAGTCAAATTTTGGAGGGAGAGGAACTGAGGAAATAACTTACTTTTATAATAAACACTATGCTATAAAAAAATAGCGGCTGGCATTAAGCCGCTATTTTTTTAAATATCTAAATTTACTTATGGTTTAATAGCAATTTAAACCAGGATGACTGAATTTCGTCTGTAAGAAGTCATGTTCTGTATGCTAGTACTACTAGTACAGACATTCTTTATTAGGAGAATTTTTCTATTCTAAATGCAAAATTGAGAGGAGTTTGGTTTTGGTAGAAACATGATAATCTGGTAACACTGAGTTTAAAATTTAGCTAAATTTACATACACAACCCTGGAAATACTTAAAAAAAAATTACATTCATCGTGAATTGTCTGATAATGATGAAGAAGAATCCTACTTGAAGGAATATTTCGATAATCTTTAAAAATCGAGGAGTACTTCATCACAGATAACAGTCCACCGATTTATTTTTTGTAATCTTTTTATTTTTATATCTCATTGCGATGGAGGGCTCGGCTTTTACGCGGAATGATGTGTTCCAAATGGCAATTCGAGTTGCCTTTGTATCGGCAGTGACATATTTCTCTATAAAATGGCTTGTGAATCAAATGGACCCGACGTCGAAGAGTCGAAAGAAAGCAGAGGAAAAAGCCCGCGAACAGTTACGCAAGTGAGTATTGATCGTGGAATTACCTCACCATTACCTATTATTACATTTCAAAGAAACATTATAGTAATAAGTTTTTAATTATTAACTTTTCTTTTCTTGCTTGCATTCTATTAACGTGCTTGTTGGAAGAAAGAGAGGAAACAAGATCATTTTATTTTTACTAATTTTCTAACCTATCATAACACTCTCCTTCACAATTCTTAACTTTTGCTATATAACGTTGCTACCAAATTATATTTGTTCACTGCTAGTTATATATTTTGAGATAATAAAGGAATTTCATATCTTGGTAGCAATTATTTATGAAATATAAATTATACTGTACTACATTTTAATACATGTAAATACTGTCTTAGTTAATAAATAAAGATCTTATTTAGGAATTAAAATAGTTTATTGTTTCTGTACAATAACTACCAAACCATGCTGTGACAGAGACATGTTTTTGAAGTCCACTTTACACAAACTGGAGTAATCACATTTATAAGAGTTTTTTATATGAAAAAAAAATTGTGACGTTGTTGACACATTTCAGACAGATAGATATAATTCTATGATTATTATAATGTATATGTATAATTCTATACCCTGTATGTAGTTTGGTTGCTCCCTATGTATTTAAAATTGTATAACTTTATTGTTTATAAGTGAAATGCCTTTAGCATTTCATCTCAACATTCACCTTCACAGCTTGTGTTTCTCTCTCATCCCCAAAGTACAGATCAACTAATAATAGATATCTTCTGGATAATCGCGCTACATCCTAGGTCTTGCCATCATTTACCATCAGATGAGGTAAGACCAAGCGTAATCCCATTATTAATAAAAAAAAAATAAGAATATCCGACTAGTGCAGTCAAAATCATATTCTATCATAGCACTTACTGCAGTTCTAGGCAGGTCAAGATTTTTTAGAAGGTTCTAGACAGTTTGCAATTCATTCAGGAATAGTTGTGAATTATATTTAATCTATTTTGTTGCTGGCTGTAGTGTTGTGTTTACTTAATATTTGATTGCTACATTCAGCAACAAAATATAGTATCACATCACAAATTTCATTTTATTTCTATAGTAATTTTATCATAATATAATTGTATTTTAACATGTTAATCGCCATGTCAATCATGTGTGTCGGAGGCTAAGAAGTTCTCCATGAGCCATGTCCGACATACGCAATTTGGTAGAAAGCACTGTGTTCATAAAAATTTGTGACAATAGGTCAATACTTGTTGTATCTTGTTTGGATGCATCAGACATATAAGATTGACATGTTTGTCATGAAAAAAAGTTTTAATATAGGGTCATGTTAGTCATATATGTGACATAAAAAATAGTGTATTTCTGGGAATTTTGGCAAAAAAAAAATTCTGAGATAAATTAAGTTTTCTTGATAAAATTTTAACTAAATTATCTAATAAACTTAACACAGTCCATGTGAATTTTTTTCTGATATTATCATGGCAATTAACATGTTAATTCTCATGTTATTGTAATTTGTGTTCTATTGGCTACAGTCAGTAACAAAGATCAGTATTAAATAATTTGAAATATTATGCAGTTTAATCATGAATTGCTGTGAAGTATTTCCAATCACTTTTCTTACTGGCTGTAGTAGTTGTCTCTAATTCATATTCTTACTAACTTCAAGGCAATTCTTATTTTTTGTTTGTATACTCACATTGTGGCTATTTTACTAAAAACATTTGCATGTAAACATATGTGTAGGAGTGCCATGAAATCAGTTTTGTAACAAAAATCATTTCTTTTATTTGCTAGTCTTACTTATAATGGGAAGGGTATATTGTCTCTGATATATATATAAGTATAGCTGATAACCTATACTTATATTTCTGTATCTAAATCTATTGTCTATTATTTCTTTTTAATTTCCAATTTAATAATATAATTAAAAAAAAAGAAATCCTGATTTAAAATTAGAATTTTACTGTTCCATAAATAAAAATATTTATTAGCTCATTGGCAATATTGTGTGATTGACCCTTAAACTAGGTAACCATTTAATTATTTTTGATACTTGATAATGAAGATATTACACAACATAGATAGTTAACATGCTTATCTAATATAATTGATATACATAACTGTTTTAAGTAAATAGAAATAAAATAAAACTTATTTCATAATAACAATTTTTTATTGTTCATCTCTCTATTAAAGTTGTAATATAGAGGAATACAAAATATGTTTATATTTATTTATTTATTACATTACATGTGCCTAAAAAGTTTATGTGTAAGTTGTATTTGTGTATGATACTGGCACTTGTAGTTTTTTTATTAGTTTTATCAAAAATGTTCTCTAAACTGTTTGGAATATACTTTTATACTTTATCACCAAGATAACCTAATGTGTGAGTGTGATATAGGTCATTAAATTTCCTAAAGAACTTAATAATGCTTTACTATGCCTATTATGCTCCTACTACTTCAAATTACTCACACTCACTGATAATATAATAGCGTGCAAGCTAGATTGGACCTTATATCCTTTCTAGGAGAATTGATATTTATTCATACTGTGTTAATGCGGAATGCGGTTTTTTGGAAGTAGTTACTGTTAGGTAGTAAGATAGTAAGGATAAATTAAGATATCATGGCATCCTTATAGGAATACAGTTATTATTTTCTCATAGGCTTTTATTTTCAAGTTACTGCAAGCTTTATTGTAGCCTATGTCCTTTGTAGGAGAGTTACTATTTATTTATACCGCGTTATTACGGAATACGGTTTTTTCAAAGTAATTATTGTTAAGTAGTAAGATAAATTAAGATATCATGGCGTCCTTATAGGAATAGAGTGATTATAATTATTTTATTGTACCTTATGTCCTTTGTAGGAGAGTTGCTATTTATTTATATCGCGTTATTGCGGAATGCGGTTTTATGGAACAGTAACTACCTATTATGTAGAGAGATTGCGGTCAAACGCGCTCAAATTTTAATATAAAAAAAAGATAATAAACATAAATTAAAATATTATGGCAATCTTACAGACTTCTTATAAGAATAGAGTCATTTACTCACAACTTATTATTATTTTTGAAATAATACTAAATTATAATTTTACAACCATTATTTATGAAGGAAATAGTGCAATGTTTTTAGAATGGCCACTATATGAGTGTGCATGTGTTAAGATTGTCTTCCAGAGCCGGCCTGGGCGGCAGACACTCGCTGGAGTTGAACAAACTTACTGACCACGAAATGATGATCGCATCCCAGCTCGTGGTGCCTGATGAGATCAATGTAAGTACTTATATTTAAACTGACGCGTTTAGTTCGCGCGCCCGGGCCTTCACCTGTGCTACCAGTCCCCCCTCCGATCGATCCCCCGTCCAATTCACACGGGGTTCGAAATTACGACGGCCTGAGCCGAGGTTCGAACCCCCTACCGGTGCCTTTAGTCGTACCCATCAGACGGAAGTTGGCCTTCAGCCGCTCCATAAGTCCTTTCGCGGGTTTGGAGTCCTATCTGCATTCGTCCCCTATCGTCCGCTGAAGCTGTAAAGGCCAGCTGCGGCCAACAGCATTAGAGTAGTCAGAAAAAAAATCGTTTTTTTATATCGACGATGTGCTCTTTAACCATTTCAGCTATCTAATTATATATAATTGACAATTGTATAAAAAAAACTTGGAAAGGGTTTTACATCAGGAGTTCATAAATAATAATATTATAGTAAAAATCTTGTAAATAAGACCTTCCTAATGACGCCTTATTAAAATTATAATTGAACATCCGCAGGTAAATTGGAAGGACATAGCTGGTCTGGACCACTTAATCCAAGAACTACGGGAGACGGTGATCCTGCCGATACAAAAGCGAGAACTTTTTGCGGACAGTCGCCTCACGCAGCCACCGAAAGGAGTCCTGTTACACGGCCCGCCTGGTACAATTGGTTACTCATAAACTCAACAAGCAAATCAAATCTAACTATCGGTATTCATGTAGGTCTATTACAGACTCTTATGATATGTCAAATCTACCATCACTGGAGTGCTATTAAGCTACGAACAACTGACAAGAAACTCAGTTCTTATGATAGCCTCTTTGTCAGCCTCTGTGGTCCAGCAATTTAGCACACAGCTTTACATCCAATGGTCGCGGGTTCGATTTATCGTTCGGTACAAACATTTGTATTCATGAATATGATTTTTTGTATCGGTCTAGGTATTTTCTATATATATTATGTATGTATTTACAATATAATAAGTATTTATATTAGTTGTTTAGTACCCATAGCACAAGCTCTGTTCATATTTGTTCTAGATTAGGCTGGGTTAATTATCCTGGGTTATTTATTTGGGTTTTTTTATTATTCATAATTTAAAAGAGCCACTCTCTTGTCGGTGAAATTCTTGCCAATTGTAAACGGTTATAAACGAGGCTAGGAAAGAGGAAATAGAAGCATAAGATAATTAGTATCTCTTTGTATATCCTTAAATTGTGTTTTCACCAGGTTGCGGGAAGACCCTGATAGCCAAAGCAACAGCAAAAGAGGCGAACATGAGCTTCATCAATCTGGACGTGTCGCTGTTGACTGACAAATGGTACGGGGAGACTCAGAAGTTGGCTGCCGCTGTATTCAGCCTCGCTGTCAAACTGCAACCCTGCATTGTGTTTATTGGTAAGTTTTCCAATTAAATATAATGAATTGTGGTTTAAGAGAAGCTTGGTGTCCCGCCAGTGTAAACCGTTACCGCAGGCGGGAGCACCATACTGTTATTATCCATAAAAAATACATCGTTAATGTCGGAGTGAAGTTTGAAAGTTTGCATTAATACCTGATGTGTAAAATTAACGAATAATTGTATCTATGGGGCGTAGTTTCGATGAGCTTCCTCCCGCGTACATTTAGATTTTGGAATAAACTACCAGCTGAGGCTATCTAGAGTAAATGTATTTAAGTATTACTATCGATTGTCTAGTACCCATTATACAAGCTCTATGTTAGCTTGGGCCTAGATGGCGCTGCGTGTATTATCCTGAGATATTATTATTATTGTAGTATTTACAAAAAAATATCTAAGTATTTATATCTCTGGTCTAGTATCAATAAGATAAGCTCTGCCTAACTTGGGACTATACGGCGCTGTGAGAATAATCCAATTTTAGTTTTTTTATTGAATATTGATAGCTTATTATTGTTTTAAAAATATTGAAGATAGTGTTGACCATAACTAAGTTTTACATCTTCAGTGGTAATTTTACTCTTGAGTAACGAGTTTGCTATATGTACATGCAGATGAGATGGAATCGTTCCTTCGTACCCGCAATCAGCACGACCACGAGGCGACCGCGATGATGAAGACGCAGTTCATGTCACTGTGGGACGGACTCATCACCGACCCCGGCTGCACCGTCATCATCATGGGTGAGTTTGATTTGATACAGAGATAACACTTGTGACTAACGAGCATGTAAATCTCTTAACCAAGAACAATACGACATCGACCTATTTTGTTTCAGAAAATCCTTGCTTTCTAATATCATTTATTAATGTGGGAAATTTTAGCCGCTTATGAGCGTAAAGTATTTATATAGCATGTAAAATATATATAATTAGCCTTCAAAGGCTAAGTACCTCAGGTATCTTCAAACTCGAATACCTACTGCTATTGGGTGAACTAACGCACAGTCTCTACAGCGAGAAGAATGAGTATGTAAATGTAGATAAAGGAAACGAGAAAACCGCGCGTGTCGTCAGATCGCGCATTACTGCGTCTATCAATCCTGCTTTGGAGCCTTTAATAATGAATTAACATTGCAAATGGCGGACATTTGACTATGGAGCAAAAACAAAATTATAGAGTAATTGATAATTTATAAATCTTAAATGTGTCTCTGGAAAAATAAAATATGTGAACTCTAAAATAGTATTATAAGAGAAACTAAAATGGCATGAATAATGAAAGCCAAAGCGTACACACTACTGATTCGTTCGGGATTTTTTCATCGGACTACTATAATGCTAGGTTAGTTAGCCGCTCCGTAAGTCCTTGCGCAGGTTAGGAGTGCCATCTGCAATCGCCCACTATCGTCCGGTTAAGGTTACAGGCCTGCTGCGTCCAACATCAGTAGAATAGTCCGCAACAAAAAGTAATAACATATTTTGTCTGTGTGTCAGGTGCAACAAACCGGCCTCAGGACTTGGACAAGGCGATCCAGCGCCGCATGCCGGCCACGTTCCACGTGCCGATGCCCAGCGAGACGCAGCGCGAGCGCATCCTACACCTCATACTGCGCTCCGAGCCCGTCGCACCAGACGTACGTACACGCACACTCGTATCTTGTCTCCTCTTATCTCATCTAATATCATCTAATCCCATTTAATATAATCTAATATGAGATTAGTAAAGAAATAAAAATTGTACCCGAATTATCGTAACACGTTTTTTCTAGCTACAATCATATAGTTATTTTTAAGAATATTATAAATAAATAAATTATTCTCCTCATATTTATAAAATAACGTGCATAAAATAAACATTAAAAATGATTACCCTATTAGAAAAAATAGTCGCTATTGAGCGGCTATTTTCTAGCAAAAAAAATAAAGTAACCGCGTTTCATTTAGGCCAGATTAGCAAAATCCCAGATGAGAACTTATAATTTTTAAAGTCACCGGCGGTGTTACCGGTGAAGGATGTTACTAAAACTGGGTATGCTAGAATTAATCTCATGTAATCTCATCTTATCTAATATCATTTAATCAGGGTGAAAGGGGATCGTTAGTAATATGTGCTAATAATCCCTGGACAGTTGTGCCGGGGACCCAACAGGATAAATTTGCTAGTATGGGACTGTCCTGACCTCCTGCTCATCTTATCATCCTCAACTGGTGCCCCGCCAGCGTAAACCAGGTAGTGTTGTGTGAATTGTGCAGGTGTATTATCGTTATTATTATGAACAGATCGAGCTGAAGCGGTTGGCGAGTGCGACAGAAGGGTTCTCCGGGTCGGACCTCCACGAGCTGTGTCGGCAGGCGGCTGTCTACAGGGTGCGGGATCTCGTCAGAGAGGAACAGGTTAGTACTCGATTTAACTGCAATAGATAGATTCAAAAACATCGTGACCGGTATAAACAACCATATTCATTAATACAAATGTTGGTATCGTGTATAACATCGGAAGTCGGCGTACTAAACCCTTATACCATCGATGCTGTCATGAGAAATGTAAAAATTATTGGAACACACATTTTTTATGATAAATATTCATTATACATTTTTCTCAAATTGTAGCCGAATATGAACTGAACTATGTATTTATTTCTAAGAACAATGTAACCTATTCAAAACAAATAAATAAATAAATTATTTAAAATTTTGATTTGCCTAATGGTTTACGCTAGGATATCGACCGGGTGTTTAATATGCATTTAATTACGAAAAAATATATCTATGTGTTTGTATCAGTTAAATAGTACCTGTAACACAAGCTTTAGCTAGCTTAACTTGTATGGCGCTGTGTTCATTGTCCAGGGTTATTAAAAAGCCACGTCCAGTCCTCCCTATCCCTTTTATTTGTACATGTATATTTTCTGTACCTATGTATGCTACGTGTTTATAATAGGTGAATAAAGAATTTATCTATCTATATATGCTAAAAAAAGAGAATAAATATTTTTTAATTTGATTTTCAGTCCAAAACCAATGTGAACGCATCGGACTCCGATGAGGAGTATGTGGACGCAGTGCGCCCCATCACCATGGAGGATCTGCGGCTTTCCCTCAACAAACTCAAGGAGTCCAAGATACAGTGCGGATCCCTCGCGCCCTCCACGCGGATAGAACTCGACTAGGTGTCAGGCTAGTCATTATAAAGATTATAATCGTTAGATAAGGTCACGGATTCAATTCTCAAATGGATAATTTAAGGGATTTTGTCCCCTAAATTATCTGTAAAGTAAACGTAAATGGAAACGATTGTGCGCTAGATTTTTTTAATTATAGCTGGTTTATAAAACCTGAAGAAATCGATCACATAATTAGGGGATTTAGTTCCCTAAATTATTTGTAAAGTAAACGTGAATAGAAAATATCGTCCAGTCAGTTTTTTATTATTAGCTGGTTTTTATAAATTGAACAAATCGTAAAGAGGTGTTCTAAACCTGTTAGCTTATTTCCTTATGTTAAACAGTTCGGTAGATAGGAACACGGATTCAATTGTCGATCGTAAAACTTAGGTGATATAAATGGGAAATACTCTGTTACGTTCTGTTTTTTTTTTATTTTTAGCTCATTCTAGAAACTAATCGTTTTATACTAAAGAAAAAAAGGAATGTTTAAAAGTCTGTTGCAGTTACATAGTTTCTTATTCTATCACAAATTTCGATAACATAATTTAGGGGACAGAACTGTTAAATGGAAAAGACTGTTTACGGTCCGGATTTTAAGTTAGCTGGTTAATAAACTGTTAACACACACAAATCATCGTCCGGTGAAGCTGTAAAGGCCAGCTGCGGCCAACAGTATTAGAATACTCCGACAATAAAAGCATACAAATCGTAGTACTGTTAAAGTATACAGATGTTTTAGACTTTGCTACCATCGTTTGTTATTTACATCAGCTTTTTTTTATTTATTAATATTTTACGGCTCTGGATACAAGTCCTTTTTATAAAGTACATTTCATCAACTTTAAATTGAAAGTGTTGCCACTATTTACTATATATTTGACAACCATACAACTGTTCTATCTGCTTTACTTGCAAAGTAGACAGTGTTTTTTATGGTCGTATCTAACGATTCCAATCTTGATTAAAGTATCTATACATGAAGCGATTACCATAGAATTATGTTATGAGATTATATAAATAATAGTGCATATATAATAGTAGACATACAAGTGAAATTTGAAAGAAACAAAGAAAATAAAGAAACAAAGAAAGGAAATAAAGAAAACATACAATCGAAATTTGCTATCCCTTTTGTCTTACGAGCTGGTTCTCTACGATGATAGTTTCTGTAAAAGTTTATAGTTATAAAAGTATGTTTTTATTTATGTAAATGGGCTTTTTACATAGCTTTTTTTCTTTAAATCAATAATTATAAATTATAAATGACCCAATTACATTTTTTCTGAACAGTTTACTGTCGAATCCGACACTTTCATATTAGCGCTGAAACTGGGCGAAATATCTTTTGGACGATAACCATAGACTAGACATTAGTATCGAGTAGTTTCGAACATAGATGTTCGAATTATCTTACAGATACTAATAAATTGCTCCAAAAAGTATTACAAAGCTTTGTTCTTTAAATAAATAATTATCAATTATTGATCGATAATAAATGACCAAATTACGATTATTTCGACTAGTTTACTGTCGAATCCGAATCTTTCATATTTGCGTCGAAACTGGCCGAAATAGCGTTCGGACGATAACCATAGACTAGACCATAGATGTTCAAATTATAGATACTAATAAATCGCTGCGTGTATAGAGGTCTTTATATTTATTGTTCTTCATGTTTGTCTATTTAATAGGTTAAATATGATTCCTAATGGTGTATTTGTTTGTATATGGATGTTCATCAGTGATACTATCGTGATGCTTGTTGATTCTGGGCCCCGTTTCATGGGTCCATAGTGACATATCGCAGTGCAGTGTATAAGGACTAAACATACATAGGTAAACATATAGATTGTGAATGAGTTTAATATTTGCAAATAGTTTTTTTTATACTACGATAGCGGCGAGCAAATATACGGCCCATAATTAATTTTATGTAGCTTTTTGTACGCAAATCACTGTCTAGGGTGTGACAGTTTAACATACTGCCTCATCTTAAAATGTTCAAAGGTTTGATCCCTGCAGAATACAATCTGTATTTAAATATGACTGTCTGTAACGGTCTGAATATTTTTTTTTTGTAATCTATAAAGACCAAATGTTATCGTTTATTGATGAAAACCTAACGGTAATTTCGCTACTTAAAATATTTTCAAATGAACTGAAATGAAAGTTTAGTCTGGACATTCATAACGACTATATATATCGTTATGAATGTACAGACTAAACTTTCGTCGTAAAAGCTTTGAATGTGCTTCAAAACAATATGATATATAAATTTACATAAAAAAAAATTGAATGTTTCATTTCTCGGCCTTTTGGCTACCATCAAAATGTGTAGTGTAGTGTAATAAATGCATTACAAAGATTTCGAGTCACTTCAATATAAGCAGCTCTGTCACAATCTATATAATAATATGAATGTTTTGTCTCTCATTGAAATTTCTGTGTAGTATATAATATATATTACAGATATAAATGGTGTTAATACTTAAATATATAATTACGAATTGGGAAATTGTTATAGTTATAGAGATTTATTCTATTCACGTAAGTTGAACAAATTGTATATATTTTAAACCTTAAAACTAAACTGCATTAGCTTCAAAATTGTAAATTTTGTAAAATGACTTCAATAGTTTTAACTTTAACTAGAAGGCTACCAGAAGTGAGGATGTCCACTGATCCCCTGGCCTCAAATGATCCAGCAGGATCTGTTAGCGATTAACAACATAGATAAAGCAAAAAGCCAAGAGTGGCGTAAAAGTATCAAAGGGCTCTTTTGGTAAACAAACATACAACCCATCTGATGGTAAATGGGTACCATAGCCTATGAACTCCTGAAACACCAGGGGAGTCACGTGCGCGTTGTCGACCCTTAAGATTGCTGATTCCAAATAAGGAACTAAATAGAATGACTTCAATAGTTTCAACTGTAGAGTCCATTTTCCAATATTAATAATTTTAGTCTTAATGCGGTATAGTATTAAGCGTGCTAGTAGTTTTATTCGTAAAAACTGCTTGTTAATTAGTTAATCAGCTTTGTCGAACTTGTTTCTTACCGATTTTGATAGTTTATCAACAATATATATTATATATTTTTTATAATAATCGCCACTCTTTAATTAGTGAAATATATTTCACAAGTTTTTCATGCTTATGATCACCATATTGATATTATACACTTAAGGTGTAGTCTAGAACTCTCACAATAAGCTTGATGATAATAATCATCATCAAAATGTTCGTGTCATAACATAAATGTCATAAAAGTATAGCAACTTATTGTTCGAATTTCGACATTAATGTCCTGGTAATAAAATCTATATTAGATATAAGACATATAACTTTGGGTGAAACAGTTGTGTACTATTTTGGTCCTATTTAAATGAAGTGATATATTGTATATGTAAATATGTTAACGTGAAATTCAGTTGGTGTTGTGAGTAATAAAGTCTAATAATAAAGATGTTGGAATTATATAAATCTATAACTATATATAGTATGTGCAATAGAGTTATACTGCGTATATACAAATGAAGTGTTAATATATTTTTCAATACCACAAAGGAGGAAACCTGAACACAAGATTTCAGGATTCAACTGTTTCGACTAACAATTATCGTGAAAGAAGAAAACATAATAAGTTCATTAAATTTACATGTAAAAAAATATAACAATGTTAGTGAAGTCGAAACAATTATCCCGAAAACAGAAAAAAAAGTTCTTGTAATTCAGGTATAAATAAAGTTATAACAATATTAGTGAAAAAATGAACACGAGACATAAAAACAATGTAACAATATTTTCCTCGCCGTTTTCTCAGCGTGACTATGATTGACTGGAAATAGCCTATGCCCTTCTCCTTCTCACTGCTGTTATGTTAAAATGTATTATAATTGATTCATTAAAATGTGATAGCATGAACTCATCGCATTTATAATATTAGGGTTATAAAGCACATCAGTTAAGTCCAAATGTACTATAACTTTGCTTTCAAATCGTTAATAAATACAAGCTAAAATCGGATTCTAGTGATGATTAACTATGGTAGCTGTGAAGTAAATTGTAATTGTTTAAATGTATGTGGTGTGCATTTTATCTAGTGTTGGTATGGCGTCGATATCATTAGTGAGAAAGTAAGCGTTAATATAATTTTACTGAAGTAAACTTTATATAAATTAGTCAAAGTGGGTACCTCTATCTCACCTATACAGCCACAGCTGCTTTGTCAGATGTGTTCCGTTTGCAGGTTCGCGTCGCAGTAAAATTAAAGTGTACGCATGCATACTTAACCTGTACGCATATCAAATTCAGCCCTAACGGACGTACGATTGGCGCATTTACAATGAGGGCGGGGCGTAGATATTCAGTACCTATGGTTTTTACCGATGACGACGTTCGATTGGCGCATTTTAATGAGGGCGGTGCGTAGCAGCCAATGAGCCAATCAAACGACTTTATCGGAACGGGATCATCAGTGATGGCCGTGATGCTGCTTAGGCTCTTATCATATAGGCCGTCAGGTTTATCATTCTAGTTGCATAAGAAAGTAATAAATAAGTAATAACATACATTTATAAAATTACAATAAAAGTACATGAAATTTCACTTGTACGCTATTATCAAAGAATCTTCAATCAGAATCAGACCTTTACCGTCGTCTGGTGAAGCTAAAATGCCAGTTACGGCCTTAGAGACAACACCATTAGAGAAATCCGAAAAAAAATGACACTATAGATCTGTCTATTTTTAATGTACTTCAGGAATTTTATAATTTCAAATCTAGTAAAAATTATATATGATATGCGACCCACACCGGCGCCCCCGGGCGCCCCTCCGATCGATCCCCGGTCCAATTCAAACGGGGATCGAAATTACGACGGCCTGAGCCGAGGTTCGAACCCCTAGTGGTGCCCTCAGACTAAAGTCGTATCCGTCAGGCAGGAGTTGGCCTTCAGCCGCTCCATAAGTCCTTCCGCGGGTTTGGAGTGCCATCTGCACTCGCCCCCTAACGTCCGGTGAAGCTGTAAAGGCCAGCTGCTGCCAACAGCATTAGAGTAGTCCAAAAAAAAACGATGTGCTGTACTAATCTGAACTCTGAGAATGTCAACGCCATGCTATATACAGATTAAGCTTTTTTTACTTATTTTTTTTTAATTAGTGTTATAAGAGGGCTAGGTACTGGCTGTGTGTTTAAATTGTTAAGTTTTATATTATGCGCTGAATGTTTGTATATTTGACAAATATATATATATATATATTGAATGGGATTTAGTTGCTTTGGAACTGTATTTAAAGTTCAAATTGGATTGTGACGGTGAGGCGTTATTTAATTACTTATAATATTTAAAATATATACAACAATATTGACTATAAAAAATCTATTACTGCACTATGGTATTAGATACAAAACGGTTAAAACCCAGTCAGTTTACTAGATTAGATTGCTTACATTAATTTGCACAAATAGGATTCGAGTGATAAAAACGTTGTGCCTCGTTTATTAGTTTTTGGTGTGTTATGTCCAATAATTTATATAGCAATTTACATATATATATCCAACTTGCGTACTTACATAATATATGAAACTAAGAAATAATAGAAACAGAGTTATATAATATATATTTTATCGAATTAGGTGTTTTGCAGAAGTCAATTTTATTACGTAATGGATTTATATCATTTTGTTTAATTCCGTTACAACGGTAGCGGAATTAAACAAAATAATATAAATGCATTAAGTAATTATATAATATAATCATTGTTCTTGCTAAATGTAGGCAATATTATTAGACATGAAGTTATTTACAGCATTTTACTATTAGGCTATTAATTCGACACTCATATTGCTCGGATTTTTTTACACGCTGCTGTAGATTTTGTATTAAAGATACATTTGTATAATTTGTTTGTATATAGATATTACCAATATACCGTGATCCTCACACAAAGGAGAAGTTCTATAGTCTATGATATATTGAATTTAAACTTGATCAAATGTGCTTGGAATGAAACGTTTTATGGCATTAGTAAATTGTGTCCTTAGCTACATTTTATTTAAAAAACAGCTTGATTGAGCATTGATATACAATTAATAATACTCATCTAATAATTGAATTAATCTATAAATAAAAATAGAAAAATATATATGTACACAGTAGTTAATATTTTTTAAATAGACTTTTTTTATTTCTTTACATTGCAGAATAATTATTTCCTTCGTGTCTATGCCTTGAACGTTCCATTACGACCACATTGAACACAAGTGTATTTGTATATAGACCCTTACAAATAATGGGTAATACGGAATGTCAAATCGACCTATTTCCGTTTCTCGATTTGAAATTTCGAACACCAATGGCGCGGGATATTGAGTTTTCGCGGTATAATTGTAACTCGGGTTTGATTGGTTACTTGTGCGGTGTGACTGCTTTTGTAGTGATTAGTTAGACCAATAACAGATGCGATTCGAAATTTAAAATGGAAGATTGTAATGGTTGTTTCACGTATCTTTTGCGGTTATTATTTATTATGTAAATAAAGGCAATAAAATTAACGGAGTTAATTTGGTTGTTTTATTAATAATTTTTAAGACTGCTTCATCCCCAGTGTAGCATCTGAAAAAAAAATATATAAATGCATAGACAATTTATATAAAACTAGCTGACTTATTTGACATTTGTCATTATATTTCGCCCAATTTACGTCTACAATCTTTTTCAATTATAACCTATTTGTTATTATAATGTAGGTATAAGCTATATTACTGTAAAATTTCATCAAAATTCATTCAGTAGTTTTTCCGTGAAAGAGTAACATCCATCCATACATACATACTTACAAACTTTCGCGTTTATAATATTAGTAAGATTATATTATTAAATGTAAATATTGTAATAATGTATTAGTAAGTGCAATTCTAGAAACTTCGTTTTAAAATATATTTAAGATTAATTAGATACGTCATATCATAACTTTTTATTAAAAAAAGAAAGTTACGCGGTTCCCAAATAAATGGGATAAGGAAGAAGCAGATCATGATGAAGAGACTACCTATATTTTTTATAATACATAGCTATACATAGTATGTACGCATAAAAAATACTAAGATATTATTGTATGATCATGAAGACGTACCTTTTTTAATTTATGCGGTCTGATTTTTTTCTTATTTTTCCGGCGGGTCTTTTTCTTCTTTCGTGACCTCGTGACTGGCGGTGACTGTGGTGGGTGCGCTCTATGGTGCAGCTGATGCGGTAGACCTTGGATGAGATGGCCAGTTTTAACATACATAATATGTATTTAACTTATTCTAATGCCGGTTGATGACAATTCTTAAGCGACTATGAAGTTTCTTTATCTATACATATAAATAAAATTGGAGTGCCTGTTTGTAATATTGAAATAACCGTATTTTTTTACATACATATATGAATATAAATACGATACATACACCAAAATAACAATTTTTGTCTGTCTGTCTTTTTGTTCCGGATAATCTCTGAAATGGCTGGACCGATTTTGACGGGACTTTTTTCAGCAGGTAGGTGATGTAATAAGGAGTAACTTTTATTTTAGAAAAAATATTTTATGTCAGAAAAATAAAGTTAAATTCCACGCGGACGAAGTCGCGTGTACAGCTAGTTTAATCTATCGGCAAAATCTATAAATGGTCGTAATCCAAAACCCATAAACATAAACTCTTATAGTTGTGTTGGCTAGATCATTTTTATTTATTTGCCTACTACAATATCAAACAAAATCAAATTAAAATATCTTTATTCATGTAGGTCTAAGTATGTAAACTTATGTAAAATCTACCGTCAGGAGTGCATTCGAGCTAAGAAGAATTGAAGAACTCGCCTCTTATTATTTTCAAATGAGCTTGTACACAAATAGAAATTTATTTTTAAATTAAATTAGGGAGATTATCGATGACTATGACTACCAGCATATTATTATGTTATTGTATTATTGTCAAAAGGAAATAATGTAATTAGTGGTCGTAACCCGATCAGGCCAGCCCCACAGGCAACACCCGTTTACTAGCATGACGCTGGAGCCTGATTTACTTATCTTACCAATTACTTACAATAATAATTAGATACTAGAATGATTGAAAAAGCTAAGATGATGGTGTTCAAGTGTGCCCAGGGATAGCGGATTATTAGTAACTAGCTGTTCCCGCGACTTCGTCCGCGTGGAAACTAACTTTATTTTTCTAAAATAAAAGTAGCCTAAGTTACTCCTTATAAGGGACTTTTTTTGACAGGTAGCTGATGTACTACCTGTCAAAAAAAGTCTCGTCAAAATTGGTTCAGCCATATCAGAGATAAGCAGGAACAGACAGACAGCCAAACAAAAATTGTAAAAAATGATATTTTAGTGTATGTATATACACTAAAATACATACATACATACATAACATATTTATATTCATATGCATGTAATAAAAAACGGTCATTTCAATATTACAAACAGACACTGCAATTTTATTTATATGTACCTATAGGTTGTTGTGAAATACTGGTCCCATTGATACCAGGTGGGTATTTTTTTATATCATACTAATCTTATTATCCTCTACTGTTTCCCGCTACTACTCGTATATATCGTTGGCGTAGTCAAACGCACCATTCCATTGTCATCCATTAAAAAAAGTATGCCAGTAACTCAATGACAATTCGTGGTAAAGTTATCGAGTAAATCAGTAAACCCATAGACAATGAAGTCTCCCTGTTCAAATGTCCATCTCGAATGTGCCGATAAATTAAAGAATAGACTATCCAAGTGCTTATACGTATTAAGTTTATTTATTTATATTCTGTTCTTTCTCAGTAAACTATTTAGCAAATTATTTGAGTAGTATTTATACTGATGGCTTTATGGTCTAGCTTTTAGTACCTACACCGCCTTACTTGCTATTGCAAATTATTTGAGTACTATTTATACTGATGGCTTTATGGTCTAGCTTTTAGTACACCGCCTTACTTCCTATTGTCGCGGGTTAGATTCCTCGCATAGACAAAAATTTGTATGATTATGATTGTGATTGTAATGGATGTAAATAAATGAGTATGATTGTATTGGTCTGGGAGTTTCCTATGTTATTAATATATTTACTTGAATATTGAATTTACAAAACTAAGATGTATTTAATTATTCTATCAATTGTCTAATACTCATAACACAAGCTCTACTTAACTTAGGACTAGATGACGTGAATTGTCGTCGAGTCATTATTATTATAATCTTAAAAAATCTTTCTCAAGTAGGTAATTTGCCATTAACCATAGTAATTATGAAACAAAATAGATTTTCTCAAAAAAAATATATTATTATAATTACCTTATTAGTACTGTTAAAGGTATATAGCATCTGTAGCAGCCTTTACACGGACGTTCTTTCATGCCCATACAGGAAGGCGCCCGATTTAAAAAAATGAGAAAGGTGCGCGCACGCTTATATGAGTGATTTTATTTTTTGCAATCAGTTTTTCACTGCTTTAACGCTGTGATTGACTGTTGTTTTTTAAATTTGATATTATTCAGTTATTATTTACCATAGACACTTAAAATTTATAATATATCAAAAAATGTATAATTAGGTATTTGCCTCTGATGTCCGCCATTTTGGAATGATAATTATTTATTATAAAAAAGGCGCGAAAAACGCACGATAGTAGTACGCGTTTTCCTTGACTACCTTTATATGCACACTTTTTCCTGCGTGAAAGAGCTTACGTGTAAAGGCTAATATTTTTGTGAATCTACATTCTAAACGTGGCGGTAGATTAAAAAAGGCACTTTTGTACAAATTATTACACTTAGTTAATTTTATGTGAATATATATTATTATTTAATACTTAATTTTTTATTCATTACAAATATTGTACAATTGGCGAGCTTATTGCCATAATAAATAATGTTACATTATCTAATAGCTAACCTATATGTAGATAATCATCTAATCTGTGTGTAAGTAGATAAGAAAAATGAAAAAGTAATAAAATTAAATAGAAATAAAATTGACATACGATTAAAAATTAATTAACTTTATTAATGACAAAATATCTTACAAATAGTTGTTTTTATAATTGTCGAACAAAAAAAGACATATTCAGTTTCTACCAACTTCAGTCCTAACTGTACAAAAGCCTATGATTTTTTCTTACTTATAATAAGTTACCTAATACCTATAACCATAAGGCATTAAGGAATTGACTATAAATAATACTGGTATATCTACCTAATAAAATGCAGATACTTCACTGTATGGCTAAAATCTTATCTAATATTTTAATAATACAATAAATTATTAACCCTGCACATATCACATAGGGCTATCTAATCTAACAATATAAACAAACAGTCAAGAATGTTTGTTACGCGGGGTTCGAACCCGCGACAATCAATTAATATTAAAAATAAAGAGGGGTTTAAATTTTTTTTACTACAGTGGTGGCAAACAACCATATTGCCCATCTGATGGTAGGTAAACAGTAGGTATATTTTTGGTAACAGATATGGTAAAAAAAAATACTTAACCAAAATTAAGAATTAATTTATTTATAGCTGTATAAATAAATAACATAAGCATATAAAAAAAATAGAGATACCTACAAGAATTGCATAAGTGTTAAGCCAGAAATGGTCGTTAGTCAAATAAATAAATAAATATTAGGTCATGTTTATTCTTTTTCTATATGATTGTCGATTTCCTTATCACGCTTACCTTGACCATCGAAATATCCGTTCCTCAAATAATACAGCAACGGGTATGGGATATCTTCAAATTCTTCAGGTGGTGTATCCACACCTTGAGTTTTAGATACACCAATAGATATATCGGAACACGCGAAGAACTGCTCTTGGTTCCCGCATCCAAGAGCCTGGGTGCCATTGTTGCAATCTCCCCAATTGTTCCCGGCTGTATACCTCCATTGCAGCACGCAATGATCACAAACCAATCCACTGGGAAGACGATAATTAACCTCGTATTTTGAGCTTCCTCTGTCCGGACGGTATGAATTCCCACCCTCTTCTAACTCGAGGACATGTTCGTCGAAGCATTCCTGATCGTTTCGCGAGGGGTCTGGGCAGAGTTTGAACTCCCAGTAGCCGCGGTGGGAGGCGGTCATGTCGACTGTTGTCGTAAAAACGGATCCTGGTAGGTAATGTTCTACGATCACACCGTCGCCATAAACGCCGCCAAGTTCATGGGCTCGGGGAGTGGGTGCATCGTACGGGTCTCCACAGATACCGCATCTGGACAGACAATTTATTTTGCTATTATTTTATATTTAATAACAGAGATAAATACACTTACTAAGCAAACTCTATTTCTCACTTAGTGATTACTTAAGTGACAAACATACAAGGCATTAGATGTTCATGGATGTTCAATTTAATATTAGACACACTCAAATAGTCTGAATTTACATTTATTATTTTATATTTACATTGATTATTTTTTCATTGCCTACCTTAGGTAGTGAAAAACTAACAAAATAATTGTTTAACTCGGCTAGCTATAGAGTTACGACATAGTATTATTCTATACTAGCTGACCGGCGGAACTTTTCCTAAATTACATTTACTTGACATTTATCATTACATTGCGCCCAATTTGCATAATATCTTTTTAAATTATAGTCTGTGTGTTATTCTGATGTATAAGCTATATTAGTGGATAGTTTCAATAAAATCCGTTCATTAGTTTTTGCGTGAAACAGTAACAAACATCCATCCATCCATACCCACAAACTTTTGCGTTTATAATATTAGTACCTAAAGTTTTATTTTTTAAAATATTGGAAATTCTCTAATAGTTCTACCCGTGCATATACTCACTTGCCACCATTGACCGACCACTGATGGGAAAATCCACCGCAATTGAGTCCATCATCGTCATAGTTGGGCTTCGTTGGGAAGCCGTATCGCCAGGCTGACGCTCTAGAAGGAGGCTGCAAGACCCTGCCGTGACTGTGTACATAAGCCACTGACGCTGACAGCAGCAGAAGAGCGCACCACATCTGAAAAAAAAAGTGAATTGGAAACAAGCTGATGGTAAACATAATACAAAGTTCTAACAGCACTATGTACACCAGAAGGTACCCGTTGTAAGTTGTATCTCTCATGCCATTCGCAATGAGATGCTATTTGACTTTAAATGTATTAATTTTATTATAATATTATAACCGTTTACAGAATAGTTCTTTGCCTCACTTGGTAAATAAGTATACGATCCATCTGTTGATAAATGTTTACCATGGACTACAGGCGTCTGATACACCAGGGGTGTAACGTGCGTAATGACACAGATAATATAATATTGTAATGTACGATCTTAATTGGTGATGCCGGCCGGTAGAAAGGTATACGGACCATTCTAGATTTGCACATATCCTAAAAATATAAGGTTGAAAATTTCAAAGTAATCTTTTTCAAACTTCTAGGTGAATTACCTAGTTTTAATTTTAATTTCGAAATTTTTCGTAAAGATTCATTTCGTTTTTAAATTTATTATTAAAGTTTTATTATTGTACTAGATACATAAAATAATAAATATACATGAACTAATACAAAATACGGTCTTTTCGCTGAAACCTACCTTTGAGTTGAGAAAGTGATAAGAAAGAATATTTGTTTAATACGAAAACCCAACGTGTTAAATATTTGTCAAATAGAAATGCAGACAGCTGACAAATGCACTGCAGATTATCATGTATGTATGATTATCAGGAAATATGGGTCAAGAACTTGGCCTAAATAAATATGTATGAATACAATACATTGCTATATTATTTGCACAGCTGTGGTTAATAGTTTTGTAATAATTAGTTTTTAGAGTTCCGCGACAATACTTAGAAACAGAAATAAAGACTTTTCCGAATTTTTGAAACAAGACAGCCAATTCCTTCTCAATAAAAATTTATTATATTTATATATAAATTTATATCGGTACTTTAATTCATGTTACTAGCATAAATCGGGAAGTTTATCTGTCTGTCTGTTACCTTTACACAACTAAACGGCTGAATGGATTTTAATGACAGATATGATTATAGATGGTATCATAACAACGTACGTATCTTTTATCTCAAAAAAACATATATAATGGTAAAAATAAGGGATGAAATATTAAGGCTTATGCATACGGAATCGCGGGTAACAGCTAGTATGTAGTATTTTAAATCCAATATAATTGTAAAAAAATATCAGTCATATAATATTTTTTTACAATTATATTGTAATTAAAATACTGCATGCATTTAAAAGTGCTTTTATTAATTTTACTTGAATAAAAATTATTTTCATGTTAACTTCTAATGATTAAAATAATGAACATTAAAAATAAACACCTACTTTGAATCGGCAATTAAATTTAATAATTATAATGAAATATAATTATTCTCCTCTTCTAAAAATCGTTCCCGTACTGCCGCGTTTTCAGCGCGAAATGTTTAATATGAATATTTAGGCCTTATTTCGTTTATATACCCAGTAATTAGTCATTGAAGTAATTTGTTATCTGCGAATCTGAGATATAAAGATAACGGGATATATAAAGAAAAAGCGCATTCAATATTATTGTAACCTTATCTATTAGATATTTAGATAATATTATCAAAAAGATGATGATTGAATGTGAGAAATTAACATGGAAAATTTGCTTTATAATTTATACTAGTATAGTTATAAATAGAACTCCTAAATCGATAACTTTCGAGTCATTCCGAACGATCCACTGATCAATTTGATGATCGAAATTACGACAGCCTAAGCCGTGATTCCAACCCCTAGCAGTGTCCTCAGACTAAAGTCGTATCCGCCAGGCAGGAGTTGGCCTTCAGCCACTCCATAAGTTTTTCCATGGATTTGGAGTGCCATCATCACTTACCTGCTATAGTTCTGTGAAGCTGTAAAGGCCAGCTGCATCCAACAACATTGGAATAGTTCGAAAAACCTCTAAGCCAAAGATTCATAACTGCTTGTAGGCATAGGTAGACACATTTTTCTGGTGATAGGCATAGTCATCTTGCCTAGGTACCTCTGTCTCACCTATTTCTTAAATTTTGTTATCAAGTTTGTTCCGTGTTCCAGTTTAAAGCTGAGGCATGACAGTGAAATTATAGGGTACGCAATGACACTGAAATCGCAGAGTGTGAGTACTGCAAGCGTCTTGACGACCTGATGTCAATTTTTTTCGGACTATTCTAATGCTGTTGGCCGCAGCTGACCTTTACAGCTTCACCGGACGATAGGGGACGAGTGCAGATGGCAATCCAAACCCGCAGAAGGATTTATGGAGCGGCTGAAGGTTAACTCCCACCTGACGGATTCGAATTTTTATTCTGAGGGCACTACCAGGGGTTTGAATATCGGCTCTGGCCGTCGTCATTTCGATCCCCGTTTGAATTGGACGGGGGATCGATAGGAGGGGATGATGTCGATGTTGCTGTTCACGTATATATATAGGATGTAGCGGTTATCATAGTGATACAGCCTACAGGTTGAAAATAGTACGTTTTAAAGTTTAGACGTAAATAAATATAAACATATATAACACAAGATATCTATACAGGATATTGTAGATAAGAAACAACAGAAATAACCTGGTTAGCTTCTATCGGAAAATCTAATTCAAGTCGTCTAATCATAGATATAAATTAGACAATAGATTTTAGCACTTTAGATAAACTAATGCTACAGAAATATATCATTAAAATTAACAAAACTAAAAGTAGAGGACTGAAACATTCTGCTTTTATTTATGATCTCTTTAGTTTTTAAATAATTTATATGTTTGACTAGCTGCACCCGCGATTTCGTCCGCGTGGAATTTAACTTTCTTTTTCTAAAATAAAAGTAGCCTATGTTACTCTTCATCACATCAGCCACCTGCCAATAAAAATCCCGTCAAAATCGGTCCAGCTATTTCAGAGATTAGCCAGAACAAACAGACCGACAGACAGACAGACAAAAATAGTAAAAAAAAATATTTTGGTTCATGTACCGTATTAATATTCATATACATGTAGTATAAAACGGTTATTTCAATATTAGGTACATACAGACACTCCGATTTTATTTATATATATAGAATATAGATAAGGTCATCTGCCACCACGATTTTTAATTATATATTTCCATACAATTTTTTTTCTATAGAGACGATTACTTTTTTACAATCATCCTTGCCTTTATCCCATTGTTTGGAGTCGGCGCAGTATATAAACAAAAGACTACTTCTTTATATGTATAAAAATAAAAATTTTACAATTTACAAATTATATTTGCTACGAGATATTTCTATATTTTTTTAACAATTTATTTATTTCAGGTTACTAATATAATATATACTATAATATGGGCCATATTATAAATACCTTATTGACTAACATACATATGAATTAATAATATTGTACAAATATAGTATACAGTTGACTGGCTGGAGCTTATAACCGTTAGAAATATTAAAATTGTATTTTTTTTTGATAATATAATGTATGAGGGATTATAAGAGTTGAAAGCATATAACTAATAAATTCTTAGAATAGAATAGAATAGAATATCATTTATTCAAATAAACTTAATATAAGCACTTTTGAATAGTCATAACAATGGTTTTTTTTTAATCTACCGCTTACTGCATTAAATAACATTTTCCTTTAGAAATTGCAAATATTCGGCGCATATTATTTATAACGGAAATCGTAATTATGATAATTAGATATCAATAACACAAGTTACACAATGTCGGTAACAAAAAAAAAAAGAAAACAAGGAAAATATAATGTTTACAAATCTGTTAATATGTAGCTTATCTGTTATCGTGAACGAAGGGACTCAACAATTATTATGATTGGTACTATTTCTTCCTAAAGACGGCTGTTTTTAGGAAAAAATAGTACTTATATTGAATATGTATAGAAAGAAAAACAGATTGTAAAGAATGACAATATACATATAATACTTTCTACTAAAATTAAATTTAATTTTAGTAGTAGTATACTATATCTTCATATAGTCTAAAATGAAGTGGCGCTCGCTCTCTCTTTGCTTAGATCTTTTGAATTAACAATGGATTTTAATGCAGTTTTTAGCAGTAGATAGAGTGACTTAAGACCAAAGTTTATACGTATATATACATGTAGTTAGATTTAAATAAAAGTATTAGACATATAAAAACCACAAATGATATATAAAAAGATGCGTCCTGCACAAGAATGTTTGGTAATTGTATTGGAAATAGCAATACTCCTTGACTTTGCAATTATTGCAGAGATCTCTATTTTTTTCCAAACTAGTACTGGGTAAATACAATATATTTCCCTTTATGGTACAGTTGAATGAATTTAATAACAATAATACCCTTGGACGATTCACATAACGTCATCTAATCCTATGGTAAGCAGAGCTTGTAATTTCGGTAGATGTTAGAGCTATTTGGTGGAGGATTAGGATCTGTTAGGTGTTACTAGACAGCTGATATACTTATGTAAATACTTAGATAATTTTTTCTAAATACATACATAAATAATATATATAGAAAACACTCACAAACAAATCACAAACAATCACACTCATGAATACAAATTTGTACCGAACCCGCGACCATCAGACGTAATGTGTTGTGCTAAACCACTAGATCACTGAGTACTTTTTATGTTTATCTTTCAAATAATAAATCAGATCTTTCGGATAATCAAATAATAGATAAAAATAATTATATAATAACATTTTAATGGCTTAGTAACACCAAATGAAAAATATACTAATTAATATATATATCAAATTTGATTATCAATGAAAATATATAATAATACCTTCCGTTAAAGTTAAAGATCAGTTTATATGTTTACGATTATAAATATCATACTATTTATACTATACGTCTATTTATACATATAAATAAAAATGCTGTGTCTATTTGTAATATATAATAGAAATAACCGTTTTTTTACTACATGCATATGAACATAAATACGGTACATATAAAAAAAATATTTTAACAATTTTGTGGCTAATCTTTGAATCTTTTTGGCAGGTAGCTGATGTAATAAGGAGTAACTTAGGCTACTTTTATTTTAGAAAATGAGGTTAAATTCCACACGGACAAAGTCGCGGGAACAGCTAGTCTAGTCTGTAATATAAGTACATTAGGTTAATTGATAAACAATGTAGATGAGTCTAATTGTTATTGTTCTAGTAACATCTATAGATAATATAATATAAATAGCACATACGTATAAATAACTTCTAATAATATAAATAATAATAATAGTCTCAGGACAATTCACGCAGCGCCATCTAGATCCAAGTTAAGCTAGCTAGAGGCTGTGTTATGACTATGTAGGTCGCGGTTTCGAGTCCCCGCCATGTACAAATATTTGTATTCGTAACTTTAATTGTGTTGATCTAGATATTTCCTATGTATATATAGTACTTACAAAAAATATGTATTTAAGTTTTTATATCAGTTATCTAGTACCCATAACGTAAGCTCTGCTCAGCTTGGTTGGTACTAAATGGAGCTGCGTAAAAAAGATATCAGGTCTCTACCCTAACCCCGTCAGTAATAACCCCCCTATCCCTTCCGGTAGGTACTTAGCATATATACATAATGTAAAATACTTACAATATATAAAATAGAAGTCTGCAATTCTTGTGGCATTCGTTACTTGGTGTTTATTAACGAGATTAAACATTTAGATGCAATCATCCTATCAATTATTGAACGATATAAACATATCACTGTATTCGTTTATTAATTTAAAATCACTTTATCATATTCGACACTTAATCAATTACGTAATCACAACATACACGAGTTAATAAACTCCACCTTAAATTATGAACAAAATAATTCGGTTGCGTACTTATTAAAAAACATTTGCGTATCACTATTTTTTAGAAACGTTAATAATTCGTTAGATGAAGTATTTCGGCATCTAAAACGCTCCGTGCAAGACTGAAGGAAACAGTTTTCCGCTGCAATTGCCCTTTCTCCGATAGATCGCAACTTTCACCTAAAATCCACAGCTGTGACAAATTAATGTGTAATTTATTGATATTAGAACCGCTTCTATTTAAATAATGTAATTGTTATTTTTTTAACATTGTCACAGACTTGTCTATGATAGGAATGCAATTTTTTTTCTAACTGTAATAGTATAAAAGAGTACGGCCTATTTGATGGTAAATGTCAATTATGGTTTATAAAAGAACTTGTATCCAGAGCCGTAAAATATATTAATAAAAAAAATACATTAAAGAGTGTAGTGCAATGATATTTTTAATTTGTGGCCATTCTGGAGATTATTTTTATTTCTGTTATTTAACAGAAATAAAAATAATCTTTATTTAAATAAACTTAGTATAAGCACTTTTGAATAGTCATATTATTTTGATTCTGCCACTCGTTAGGAAAACAGATTCATCAGAAGCAGAATGAGCATGAAACTTGTGTGTTCCTCTTTTAAATAAATCTTGTTCAGCATTACAATTTTTATAACTTTGTGTGAATACAAATGCCAAGTAAAAAATAAAAAAATACTTGAGTAACTAAATAAATCAGTCACAACTATCAAAACAGACCTGTCCCTACAAGCAGCACCTAACTAATTTCACAGACTTACAATTATAATAATTTGTATTATTATAATTTAACATTAACAAAAAGAGCTTTGTATATTATTAAAAAGCTTTTTTTAATAGGGGGGTTTGTGCTATAGTCTGGTACTTGGACCTGTAGCACTGCGACCTACATAGATCTATTTTACTCGCCCTTTGTCAGAGTGCAGGGGCAAGAATTGAAGAATATTCTTAGGAGCGTTGGTTTTTATCCAAAACATAATTTCTTTTTCTCTTCTCTTTTAGCGTATATTAATCTACTGCAAGGGTCTTCAACCCGCGGCCCGTGGGCAGCTTGCGGCCCGCCGATGTGTTTTCTGCGGCCCGCCATGCGCCAACAGCATAGGCAATAACGACAACAATTAAGTAATTAAAAGTACCTTTAATATAAAAAAAAACCTTATAAAAAAAAAAGATGCGGCCCGCTATGCATAGAAAAAATTTTTTGGCCCTTGATTTGTCAAACGTTGAAGACCGCTGGTATACTACTAGACGTATGCTTCTTGCAAAACAAAGCTTACGTCTCTTTTAAACTTGATATTGGCAAGGAATCACTGTCCTATACGATGGAAGCCTTATAATAATAATATAAAGAAGAAAAAACACAGTTAACAAGACAAGTAGACGCAAGACGCAAGACGCAGAAGACACTCGCAAAGTCTACCTCTGATAAGTCACCTGAGTCACCTCACATTACTTACATTTTCACAGTCCTATACTCTCACTTTCTTAAACAATGTCCGTAAATGAGATTCAAATGAGAATCTTTCATCGTTTTACATTGTTTAACTGTATACACTCCATAATAATCAGTCGGCTATTTTATATTCCGGGAAGGTAAGTGTAGAAATCATTGTTACTAATACTAGTTACTCATACAATTATTCATTCAAAATATGTGAAAGCGATTATCAGTAGTGTGCCAAGTTATTGCCCCTTTTGTAATGATGATTCAAATTATTGATGACATAAATGAAATAAAATGTGTTTGTTGAATAACTAGTTCCTTTGATATCATTATTTACTTTCTGTTCACTTTAAAAAAAATATAATTCCAGATCACAAAAAGTTTTGGGCTGAATAGATATAGTTCTTCAATTACGTTGTTCACTTTTTAAATTAATTTAAAAAGCAAAAATTTTTGGAATAAATATGTAGATATTGTTCTGGGGTACATTATTCAGTCCATTCGTTATTCACTCATCTATTACGACCTAATATTTAAGGCACAAACCCCGATTTACTACGTATACTAGTAAATAGTAAAAGTACTATAAACATAGTCGTAATATATCTGTATTTAACGGCCTCGGGGGTGTAACGGTTGAGCACACCATCTTACTTCCGATGGCGTCGAGTTCGATTTCTCGCACGGTACAAACACTCACGAGTATGATTGTTTATATAGGCATGGGTTTTTGTATGGTATGGTATATATGGTATATATTAATATGGTAGATATTAATAAAGAAACGTAATTTTAAAATTTGCATCAGATGTCTAGCCTGCTACCTAACTACTTTGCGACTAGATGGCGCTGTATGAATTGTCCTGAAATATAATTATTATTATAACACTGCTTCTATGCTTTAATTATTTTTCTTCATAAAGAGCTTGGCTAGATACTTTAGTAGTCTCAGCTGTACATGAACGGCCCAGATGAGAAGTAATGTAGCGAATAGAGTCTCACAGACAAGGCCCAAGAAAAATATTTCAAGAAACTTTGACACAGCATGCTTTAAATCTAAGCCTCTACCTACCTCTACCCTCTAACCTCTAAAAAGTATTACTTTTTATTCAGGGTGTGATAAGTTTAGCGGTTATGTTATGCCATATATGCTGTATTACGTGTTGCTTTATTCGTGTAGCAGCACCATCAGGAACAGGTAGGTGAAGTAATAGGATAGGTTGTGGCTATGTACATATTTATGTTGTGGAAGTATTTACAAGTTATATATAAGAGGTAAATTTACAAGAGGATTTGTTTCCGAATGACAAAATTGTATTTGTTTTATACCACTATGGTGGCAAACAAGCTTACGGCCCATCTGATGGTAAATGGTTACCGTAGCCTATGGACGTCTGAAACACCAGGGTTGTTACGTGCGTGTTGCCGACGATTAAGAAACCTTTATATACCCTTCTTAAACACCCTATGCTATGGTCAAGTGAGAAAACCTCGTAGGTAATTCATTCCACAATCTAAGTGTACGCGGGAGGAGGCTCCTCTGAAACAGCAAAGTAATTTATCTAGTTCCACCGTAACTAGGTAACGATGTTCCTGCGTGATGATAGTAAATTACCCAAATCAGTAAGACTAATTTTACATTATAAGGGTAATAGTTTTATTTTATTCTATTCTATTTTAACAGATTTTATTTCTCTATACTGCAACTCTATACGACGCAATAAAAATCCAAACGCTAATTCATATCTCGTTTGCCACAGTAGATAGTTATTAATTATTATAAAAAGATAATTATAATAATTAATAACCGCAAAATATCAGACCATCGGACTGCGCAATAAGACATTGCTTATCTGTATCAGCATTGAACTCGGCCACGAAATAGATACGCTGTAATAAAAAAAAAGATACTGCCAGAGTATGTTGCAGTTGAAATATAGCGGAATTAGTGAATTATTTGTCCTTTAGGTTAAAACCACACAGAGCTAGTCTATTTTCACTGCTTCAGGACAACGAAACCAGTACGTAACGTAACTTAGTGATTATATTATCAGATAACACTGTGGAGTACAGTTAAGTTTTCTTTTTTCAATTCTATTACTTGTTTCTTATATATGTTCATCTTTTATTGTATTCTTGGAAAAGATAAGAAAAAATGAAAAAATGTCTATTACTTTAATAAACAATTTGATTACAATAATACAGTGTTGTGCTGACCTAGTAAGAATAGCAAAGTCTGTGTCAGGTACATTACTCTCTCCTATATACATTTAGTGAAAACTTATTAATTTGAAATTACAGACTTAAATTTTATTTATTTGTATTTGTATGGTTTGCTCTTAGCCTTACCTTGCCAGGTGGAAAATAATGGCGGCGAGAGCTAGAATGTAGTGCGATTTCCTAGAAGATACTTATTCAATATATAGCTAGGAGTTGTATTCTTCACGAATAGATCTAGCAATTTCTCTGCCATATCATACGAAACAGCGTACAAAATAAGCTGATTGGCAGCTTAAATAGGTGAGGAGATAAAGATACACATGCAAATGGCTTTTTACAAAGTATACCATGAAAAGTTGCATTGTCAAATAATTGACATTTGGTAACAAGGTCATAATAAAGTACTCAGTAATTCTTAGATCAGAAAACAAATAGCAATAGAATAAAATAGAAAATAATTTATTGAAATAAACTTAATTCCAGCACTTTTGAATAGTCATAATTTTTTTTTTAATCTACCGCACATTCAGAATGCTGTCTCATCACAAGAAGAATGGACAAGAAACTTCCGTGTTGCTCTTTTAAATAATTTTGAATAACTTTACATTTTAAGTGAATGAATGTAAGTGTGAATACAAACTATCAACTACCACTAATTTATTAGGGTCAAATATTAAAGACACAATAAGATTAAATCAGTCGTATTGATTGAAGCAGACCAATCACTACAAGCAGCACTCGTTCACGAGTGTGACGTTTGAGCCAGCCATCACTGCGCTCGATCATATTGTAAGGAGTCCTATGATCTTTATTCAAATAGTAATATTGTTTCATTTTGATTCTACCGCTCTTTCGGAAAGCACACTCTTCACAAGAAGAACGATCAAAAAAATTGCGTGTTGCTCTCTTATGTAAATGTTGTTTATCACTACAAATTTAGGATTTTGTGTGAATATAAGTTGGCAGACAAAGCAAGATTGATAGAATAACTATGTAATATCCACTTGATGAAACAAAATAAATCAGTGACAGTCATCAAAGCAGACCAGTCCCTACAAGCAACTTGCGTTCACGAGTATGATCATTGTTCTCAACCATAAATGAATAGTAAAATTTTATAACTATTTACAAGTGAGGGGATGTTTCTTAGTAATGTGGATTAAGAACCCATTGCTGATAATGTACCATATCAGATTGACCTCCACGCGGTTCCCCTGGTAACCATCGTGATAAGTTCCTGGTGAATTTGCCTCGGTCGGCTATCTGACCTGACCTCATGCACATCTTATCATCCTCTACTGGTGCGCCGTCAGCGTAAACCGTTAGCGCAGGCGGGTGCAGTATTCCATTATCATCAATAGAAAAACTGTTTATAAGTAATAAAATAATCATGACTTGAAGTTCAAATTGTGAGAGCGTAGTGATTAACCATGAAGAAGCAATTTGATACTGTCCGAATTATTCTTTATAACTTAGGGAAAGTGCAGTTACTATATCTACCTAGCCCTACGATGTACTTCATTTTTTATTAAACCCATTGCTAGACGTAAATCATCATTGGCTTGCCTTTACTCCATTACTTGGGGTCAGTGCAGTATGTTATCTTCTTCTACTAATCCCTTCGGCCGCCATATCTGACCTTTCATTTTATATACATCATCATTCACACAATTCATCCATTATTTATTAAAATATACTTTCCAAAACAAAAGTAGTATAAGATACATAACATTAGTAATAGGTGAGAGAAAGTCCCGTCAAAGTCGGTCCAGCCGTTTCCGGGATTAGTAAGAATGGAGAATTTTTTTAAAATTAATATTAGTAAGAACCGTTATATACTTTCATATGGATTTAGTAAAAAGCGATGATATTGGAAATTACAAACAGACACTTAATTTTTATATATTCGTATAGATATTGTTCTTTGACAAAGTGCAAAACCTGCAATACTCATATTTTGCGTTACAATGATTTTAAAATAACTCTGGGCACCTTTCTTGTGTTAAGTATAAAAATATCAGTTGGTATTAGAAGAGAGAGAAATAAATCAAAAGCCATACGAAACAACTCTTTTATTATCGTAGGAGTTCCTTGCCATAATTTTAGGTAAATAAGTTAAATAATAAAATCACAACTTAATGAATACTTAAAATTAAATCGAACGTCATAAAGGCAATTTGAAATTTAGAAATTTTCACAACTCTCAAAGAACACTCGCCGAAATAAGAATCGAAACAGACGTCGGAAGCGATTCACTTATTCTCTATGGCAGGTAAAACGGACTCAAAAATTAATTAAAAAATATTAAATAACATGAAACACCAAATGAACAAATGATAAAAATAAAATTGTACGTGCTATTTATAAAGTCTACGATGCAAAATGTAAACGATGGTCACGAGAAGTTTAATATTAATATTGTCTTTATTTTCATAAACAAAATAATTGTGGTCCAGGTGACATTTAGTTAGAATCCACCATCACTTCAAACTTCTCATGAGATAATGTTAAACTAAGATTACTGTTTTGATTGTGTTTTACAACTTGTGAACTATTCGAGAACTTAAATGTTTTCATATTATATGTTACAGCTTATTTTTGTCTATATACATATTAACTAATTCATGTGAATTATATAATAATTAATTAAGCGTGAAAACGATTCCAATTATCAACTTTTGCCTAAACATAGAATCACAGATAGATGCATAAAAAATAATTGATAAAGCAATCTCTGGTAGTGAGTTTTGGTAATACTATAATTATAAAAAGAAAATGGCTTTGATGTATATTCGAATACAAATGCCGTCCATTAACCTAGAGGGTCAAAGAAAAAGTAACTCATTTGACATCGCATCAAAACACAAAATTGTTTTTCTGCATACAAAATCAACGCGGCTTATTAGAAATGAATAAATGAAGAAGAAAATTAAATTATAATCTATATGAAAATAAGAAAAGAATATGTGAATTAATATAGAGAAAAATCATATTTGCCCCATTTAAGTAGGAAAAAAGTCCATTCCAAAACATTGGCAAGCACTTACACATTAAGTTAATAATCTTATGCATTAGTTCTGGTAAGTTCACTGACATTTGTTTAAAGGATATTTCACTGCTTGACTAGAAGGTTTTTTAATTGAATTTTAATCAGTCAATATGCTATATCGTTGCAAACAATTGATTTCATTAAATCATTTTAATAGATTGTCAAAATTATTAGAGGAAAAATAAAAAAGAAATAAAGAGAGTACGTAAAAAATAAACTTCCAAAAACTCAAGCGTGGTTCATGTCTAGCTACTTATTATTAAATATCTCCCTATCTAGAATTGGTGCTTGTAAATTTACCGAAAAATTTAACGAGCTACTTTTTATCATCTCCATTGCTAAGTAGATCATTTTTCTTATTAATACGGTCGTTCTTGGTTTCTGTAGTCTTTGTGCCAATATTTTTGTCATCCTTCTTGTTTGTTGCACCATGTTGTTCTGTATTGTCTACGGATTTGTGTTTGTGCTCCCATTTATTCTGAAATTCTTCATGTAACAATTTCTCAAAATCGTTTGATATTTTGTTTATATTTTTCTTCATTGTCGAGTCTGGATAGCTCTAAACAAATATTACTAATTAAATATTTCTTATAGGTACTTCATAAAATAATGTAATAAAATAAATGTTTATAAATGTGGAAGATACCTTTAAATACAGACGAACATTGTTGAAAATACGCCTAAAGTCTTGGACTACTTGTTCATATTCAGTATAGGAAGAATTCTGCAGTTTGGTTGTAATATCGTGAAGACACATAGGATATTTTACAACTTCATAAAATCTCGGAGCCTGAAATTAAACACCACATAGTTACAAAATGTTTGCAAAGTAGAGTTTATTTGAAAATTATATAATTATAATGCAGATACTAACAAGTTTTAAGTCCATGTCGTGTTGAATAAAAGTAGCCTCATTGGTTTTTGATAAATTACTTAATATTGCCTCAAATTTCTTGACTGTACTTGTTGGTAAAGGTTTTTTTTTCTTTGGATGATACCACGTACCTGGTACAGTAAGTTTTGACTTGTTTGATTTTTTCTGAATATCGTCTCTAACGTAATTTCCCGTTTGATCAAAATTAAGATATCGCATATTATTCTTTGCTTCTATAGTCTTGTTGGATTCTTCTACCTGTTCGTCATTTTCAATTGGCTTAGGATCAGGATCGAGCAGTTTAGAAATATCTTCGGTAAATGTAGGTAAATCTTGATCTGTTGTTGATGTATAATCTTGTTTTGTTATTACTTCTTGATTCCATAAATTAGAGATATCTTTTGGCATATAAATATTTGAGGATATACCACTAACCCAAGCGTCAGATTGCTCCATAATTAGTTTAACTTGATTGATGTCATCAGGGAAATCGCCTGTATACCCAATACCCAAACCTAAAGCATCATATAATCTAGCAGAATCTGATTTCGAACCTTCATGTATAAAATCCATCAATCTTGGAGCTGACTGTTTTGCAGCTTCCCAAGCACGGTCGGAAGTCATGGAATTCAAAAAATCTAATGGGTCTCGAATACCTGCTCCCGGAATTCCAAATCGGTGTATAATTTTTTGATCTTCACCCAATATGTCTTCAGTACGTCTTGGCATCATACAGGGCCAAGATTCGAGATTGTATTTAGGCTGAGGTGCTAGAGATACGGAGGGAAATGGGACATTCAATTTTAAACTTGTTACATCATCAATAACAGAATTGTCAAATATTATTTCTGGAGAAGCACCTGGTACAAAAGAATCAGATGGCTTTATAGGCACTTTGTAGCTACCAGGTTTCATATAAACTTTAGACATCTCGTGAAACTCATCATTTTCAGGATCAATAAATTGCACGGGGCCAGAGATATTATTTGCAAACGTCACAACATTCGATGCAATCGGCATGCTGTGAGTGTGATGAGTTATAAAATCGTTAGGTTCTTTTTGGACCATCTGACCCCACGCCGCAAAAAAATCATTCTCTTCTTTAGTATCGCCGCAGCTATTATTTTTTTGTACAAAACATGCTCGCATATCAGGTGCTGTTGCCATGCTCGGTATCAATGTTTTCTCCACATGACTCAAAGGAATCATTTTTGCTTTTAACTCCATCTCCCTCCGTTGTAGTATATCACATGGTGTATTTCCTATCACAGATTGACCTGGAGCCTTACCAAGTTCTGCGTCCATTTTATGTTTTAATTGATTATATAATTCTTTTTGATCTGCATGACACATGTTCTCTAGTGCTCGAATGTCCGATATATTAGTAATAGTCCAAGACTGACGAGCTTTTGTTTCACGTATACTGCATGGGTCACATTTATAATGCGGTTTTTGGTAACTATCTATGTTACATTGATCATTTAAAGGATAAAAATTATGTGAATTTGGAGGGGGTACAACAGGAAATTTTTTAAAAGATACTCCAGATCTTGATGGCCATGGAGCTTCATTATAGTTTTGAGTAGTTACTTGGTTTTGGTTTTGTACCCATGGAGGTTGTACAACGTTGAAAGGTTGTGGTGAGATATTTACAGGTCTTGGAGTACTTACGTGTGGCTTGACGGCATGAAATTTATTTTGATTTTGATGTCGAGGTGCGGCTGAGTTCGTGGCATAATAGTTATGTGTAAAGCTTTTTTGCTCCATGGTAAAACCGTGATCGAGGCACTTGAAAGTTTTATAAATATGAGTCAACATCTCTTTTGTTACTGCTTGCCATTGTACAAAACATTCTCTTATATTTGGGCTGTAATATTTATTTTCGATTCTAGAAAAAGTATCGTGTTTTTCACTAAGCAGTTCTTTTACTCCTTTCCAACCATCTAAAATTCTGACAAACGAAAAAATAAAGTTCTTTATAACCCAAGGTATACCTTGAGAATGCAGATTGGCAACAGCACTGTCAGGTTTTTGAACATTAGATCTTGTTTTAGCACAAATCGAATGTATGTTTTTGAAACATGGTCTATTATGATGAGCAATTGCAATATTTTCAGCATCTGTACAGGCTTCTATGGCTAATTGAACTATTTGATTAGGTATCTGATCATGTATGACGATTTTGTCTAAAGCTGTTAGTAATATATCCGAGGATCCTGAAGGTTTGTTTTTATCCTCGTCACTTACTTGTTTGTAGTTTTGCTTTTGACTACAGTCAGTTTTTGCAGACGAATCTGGAATGTTACAAAGTTCAGACACCATTCTTTCACCTTCAACAAAAAAGTCGAGACTCGAAGTAGACTCTGAAGTTAAGTTTCTATCTTGATTTCTTTGACGATCAATATCTAAGCTGGATTCTTTGTATCTCTCATGGTAACGTGAGTCAACACTAAATGCAGTACGTTTTTCCTGACCTTTAACAATCTTCTTTTTAGCTCCAGTACCTATTGGTTCTTGATTAGAGACAGACCAAGAGCTTTGAGAGCGTCTGTCAGCATTCAAAGGTCTGTCACCTGGTGCACCAGGACCGCTGTAATTTGGTGAAGATGGATCGAAAACAAGGCCCACTAAAGGAGAATTTGGAGGAGAACTAAACGTAGGAGCTGATTGGTTATATCTGAAAATTTTGAATATAATTAGTTTTATACAAAATCCTAATAATTTAAAAGTTTGCAAATAAATACCGTGTGTTCTGATACTGCTGATTTGAAGTAGTTGCTTCGTAAATTCCAGTCGCGACCCTGCAGTATGTTGCCATATTTGATTCAGACAGGTCTTTGCTGGAACAACCTAAACATGCCAATTTCCATTATATTATTTAGTACTATCGATATTATAACTTTTAGTTAGTAATACAGAAAATTTTGTTTATTTAAATGAATCGTTTACGTTATTACGAAGTAGTTTATTTCTACTATATTTCTATTTTCTTACGTCTATAAAGTCGTAAAAAAGTAGTGAGGCGAAAACTATTTGTCTATTTGTGTGTTACAAGGTAGTATGACTGGATGAGTTGTGATGAATTTGTTGTTATATAAATCAAAATACAATGCAAAAAAAAATACTTGTAAATATACCAGCGAAAAGGTTTAATAATCACATTTATATCAATTAATTAATACCAAATAATAGATTGCGACGTATAAATGCTTTATTTCTAATTGATGTTTCATCATTAATATATGTAATATTCATGATAATGAATGTATGGCGATCTAAAAATGTACAGGGTACTACTAATAAATATAAAATGAAAGGCATTATCAACTCTCTTTGGCATGGCGAAAGCACCGCTTGACATGCCCACATATCTCTGTTCCGAGACAAACGCCGTCTTTAGAATTTAGATTTATATTCAGAGCTTCCATTACTGGAGACTCAGGAATATAAATTACCGCAAGTGTTAGCTAAATTTGAACTTAGGATTTTGTGGTCAACGTTACTGATATTAGATTAGAAAATGACTAATTAGACTGACCAAGGCATTAACTCACCATATCCTTTTTGCTGCATCATAGAGTACTGATGCGAAGGTGGGTACGCATCGGTCTGGTGCTGCACCCCTCGATCTCGGTTTCCCTCGGCTGCTCCGTCGCGGTATTCACCGGATTTGGTTGACGTGCCGCCACCATATTCTTGCATTTGGCTTGGACTTCTTAACGGAAAAGTTTCAAAAAATATATTACTATGAGGAGAGATATTTTTTACTCTGTGGTTTTCCTATCTGCTGGTAGTATATGGTAAAGCTTATAATAAAAGGACTGTCCACATTTGTTTTTGTATTTATAGTATTCATCTGGATTTCCTAAGTATCATTATAGCATCTTCAGCCGCCAAGCAGAGCTTGTTTTGTAAACTGTTTCGACAGTGATATTACAAGTTGAAAAGCATTACATCGTAGTCTTTCGGAAACGCAAGGGAAGTATCACGCACGTCACATGATATGATGATGTTAATTACAGGGTGTGAGATGATATAATTTGTTAGTATAGACAGGTCTGTTCTGATAACTATGACTGATTTAGTTTATTACTCAAGTGTAATAAGTATAGCAACTGGCAGTTTGTATGCACAGAAAATCACTTAAAAACGTAATTCTGAACAACATTTATTTAAAAAAGCAACACGAATGTTTCTTGCTCAGTCTTTCTATGATGATCCTGCATTCCGAATAAGTGGTAGAATAAAAAATATGACTATACAAAAGTGGTTATATTAAGTTTATTTGCTTAAAGATTATTACTATTTACAGTCCTCTATTATGGCAATGTATGAGTGGTGTTATTTAACGTGATATGCGTCGTGCTGTTCAAATGTATAGTTGATGGTAGCTCTTACCATCATGTCGGCCATCAGATAGTTTACCATTCTAGTAACAAAGAAAAGGAAGTCCACACCAATACTACAAATGTGGAAGTGTGTCTTTCTGTCTGTTTATCTTTTGACGACTAAACGGATGATTTCTGATCTTGACGAAATATGACGTAAAGATATCACGTTGGCCATAAAGCAGGCAGTCAATATTTACTTTGTCTTTAGAAGTGCGTTTTCTAAAGACAAACTATTTTTCAATACTGCGTTAATCAGTGTCCATAGTGAGGCGGATGAACGAAGTTGCGAGTAGAAGCTAGTTATAATAGGCATAATGTTTTAATTCCCGAAAACAAATAAAAAATAGAAAAATTATTACTTTTTGAAGTACAACAAGAAGACTATCCGGTTCGTACTTATCAATCTCACTATTATTATAAATGCAAAACTTGAGTGTGGATGGATATTTGGTACTTTTTCACGCAAAAACTACTCAATGTATTTTGATGAAACTTTACAGTAATATAGCTTTTACATCAGACACAAGGCTATAATTTAACAAGATATGTAAATTGGGGAAAAAATAATGATAAATGTCAAGTAAGTGTGTTGCAAACGAAGTTTCGCGAGTCAGCTAGCATTTTATAAAACTATGGAAGCAACAACCGGCTACAAAACAAAGTTAAATTATAAATATTTTCATGATTTTTTATTATAAAATACAAAATTCATGAAAACGTCCAGAATTAGACCATTACTTTTAAGATATGGTAATTACTGAATTTCAAACTTCAAAAATGGAAATCCGGCCGCTTATATAACCTGATGATTGCATAGAATTTCCTGATTACTGATTAGATGTTTGGTCTCGAGTTCTGAAAATTTTGGTCAACAATGACATAATGGATGCAGATCTAGTTGGTCCCAGTGAAATGATGGCATACCTTATTTCATCTCAATTCTCTACATCGCTTATTTATATAGCTTGATAAATTTATTATCCTTATTTAAATAACTTTTAAAAGTTTTAAGCATATATTGCTACTGCTTTAATATATTTTAAATCATGAAAATTAATCACTACTTCAACAAAATCACTTAACACTACATTTTTAAATTTATCACCTTTTCCTTCTGTAACAAGTAGCAAATTAAACTTACTGTCGATCCTTATTTGTATCCTTTTAAAGGAGATTCCTTAGCCTTTGGAACATATTTAAAAAAAACGAAGTAGCTCTTGTCAAATATTTTATTCTTACGAATTAACCGTTATGATTTTAATAGACTTAGTTACGGGGCACTACCTCTCTTATTTTCTAAATATTTTTCTCTATAAATGAAGTTATTTCATGATCATTTCACTGCTATAGATGTTCTATGTCCGATGTACGACTTGCCAAATAATTGAAACCAACCATATGATTCGGTTCATTTGTTTCTGTCATTCGGCTTTTGCTTTTCTGAGACGAAAAAATAGCCAATATCAAACGAAATCTCTATGTAGTCCAACAAGTCTCTATGTAGTGTAGAACGTTAATATAATAAATTATCAAATTATAAGATGCTACGTGTGTTACTATGCAAAATAATTTGCGAAAAACGCAGTCGAAATGTGTTTGAAAAAGTTTTGTATTGGATAGGTATATTGTTTAAGTAGTCTAAAACCATCATCGCATTAATGCCTTTAAAATGAGAATAGTTTGGAGCACGACGTTTGGATAGTTTCAAAGTCTATAATGGATATAGGTGTAAATTTATTATGTTTTATCTTCTTTTTCAGCATATTATATTAGTTCACTGCTGGACCTCCTCATGCATAATTTTATACCTTCTTCGGTCTTCCTGGCATCTTTCTGATATCAGACAGACAGAGATATATTGGATTTTATAATATTAGTAATGATTACTATATCGTATTTTTTTAATTACTGTATATTATAATTTAATTTCACATAGATTTACATATTTATTTTTATTAAAAATATAAAAAATCATTGGCATTTATATTTTACAAAAAAACACTAATGTAGTCGGCAGTAGAAGATATAGCCTCGCTTTAGTTTTCTCCGAGCTATTGCAGAAGTCCTCAGTACAGGAGCACACTTCCTGCCTTCCACCATACCCCGAACGGTGGTAACAAGTGCCCTAGAACGAAGAGAATAAATTAAAAAAAAAAACAATATTATTACTATCTTAAGCAAATAAATAACCAAGAACTGTCATGTCATTTTTTTACAGAGTTAGAGGAAGTCCAAAAACTTTTGAGAAAGTCGTAGACGTGGATAAGAAAAGAGATATTTGACAGTTTCGGTAGTCTAGCGGTTAGCACATCTTCTCTCTTCACATGGTCGTAGGTATGATTCCCGCAATGTCGACCCTAATAATAATATACCTTGTATTTGGTTTCGTCCCAGCCACAACTTCTAATCACTCGGCTGCTTGGCAACTGTCCATTGATTCCATATTCCACATGCTGGACAATCTTCCTGCAGAGTGTATGCGAGACACCGCGCCCGTGTTCCGAGCAGTTCCTCTTCAGACTGTCAGGCAGCTGTGTCTCTGAACAGTGCGAGTTGGTAGCACTATTGCATTCGTAACACATTATGGTGGTACCTGCAATATGTTTGATGTTTAGGTATTTGAAAAGAATAACGTAAAGTTCCCTTTACACGACATATCCTTTCACACACATGTCTCATTTGATACATATCTTTCGTACATTTTTTCTTATATATCGATGTAAGAAGAAGGCTGAAGAATTAGGTACGTTCTTTGATTGAACGTTAAGTTTTAAAACACATTACTTAATAGCTAATTTCTTGATAAAGTTTACAGGTCTTAAATAACACGCAAATAACCATGTAACCATGCAAAATAATTCACAATGAACTCACAATTAAACAGAAGTAATAAGAATCAGCTTTTACAACTTAAGAAGATATATTTTTAAAAGTTACCTATTAATATACTATTTAATATCACATGAGTATTGATATATAATGAAAAAAACCATAGAGTATAGAACGCCAATGATTTTCTTGATTGTTGAAAATGTTTTCAGAATGAATAGCAATAATAGAAGCAGTAATAAGAAACAGCGAAACATATCTCTTTACATTTTAAAATTTAGGTTGATCACATAACTAATGTAATTTATTAAATACTTACCGTAATGAAAAAATCCAGAGAGTATAAGAATGCCAATGATTTTCTTCATTGTTCAAAATGTTCCGACGCCCAGCAACAAACTGATTACGACGCATGGATCATTCTGACTTGACCATGTCCTACACATCGTTAGACCCACAAGTTCCTGTTTACAATTACAGTATACTAGATTCGATTTGTCTGTCAGTAACAGATATAAGATATTAGGAGACAACTAATATAAGATATTCGTGATACCGATGTCATATTCTTTCATATGTGTGTATATGAAAAAATAATAATAATATGATAAATGTAATGTACAAGACTGAGTTTACCTCTAAGAAGAGATTTTTTCCAGGAAACCTAGTTTACTAGGTAATATATTAATAATATTTTTTATTTATTTATATATTAAAGATAAGTACAGGTACATTTATTTTTACACATTGACTCGCCAAACTGTAGAACAGTTTGTTGCTAAGATACAGTTTTCTTAATACTTACCTACCTATACACATAAATTTAACACACGTTTTTACAAAAATTTAAGAATAATCTACACTATACAACAACACACTACATTACAATTTATATCTAAAAATGCCCTTTTTAATTTCGACTTCAGTACTTATCTACTTAAATTAGAATTTTATTATAACCCATCTAAATTGCTATATATTTTTGGAATAAAAAATCCCGTTGTTCTTTTCCTGTTATAATTGATAGCTCTGGGTTCAACAAATTTACTCTGCGTGTTATTTCTCGTATTATATGTAGATATTTATATTATAGGACAATGTGTTCACAGCACAGATCAGCCATACATACGTCTACGAAAAAATGAGATATTAAGATATTGTCTTATATATAATAATAATTATAAAAATGAATATTAATTGTGTAAACAAGTTACTGAATAGGCCTTATGCTTGTTTCTTACCATTGTGGTATAAAAAAATATTAAGTCCAAATTATTATAAAATAATTTGCAGTTAGGTAATGTGTATTCCATTCGATGTTAGACACTGAAATTATTTTTATGCAATTTTATATAAATTAAAGAGACTTGGTAGATAGTATGACGAATGTATGTGCTGACTCGTTGCAGATTTTTTCTTGATAGCATCTTCTTGAATTACACATTGGGTAGTCCAATAGGATATATAGAATAGTAGGTTTATTTACGTGGTAGGGTAACTCAGGTAACTATTTCCCAATATATTCTATGATTCTATTATAACAAACAAAAGAGCCTATGTAAACTCGAAGAACAATACCTTAGGGAACTACTGAAGGTGATGTTCCGCATAAAGGGTAAGCAGTAGGATCAATAGTAAGAAATAAGACAATTATATTATAGGTTACTACTGTGAGTAAGACCTTAAATAATAGCTCTTACTCAAATGGTCATGTCATAAGGGAAGGTGATATTTGCTTTGTGTATGTTTGTGTATGTATTTGAGTATATTCTTGGGTTCCAGGGGTAATTTTTCTTGTCATCTAGGGTTTTATATACAGGATTGTTAAGATATAGATATCTAGTATATCTTTTTTTTTACGACGATGGTGGTAAACAAGCATACGGCCGATCAAACAAACGGTTATATGTACTATATGTATGTAGCCTATGGACGCCTGAAATACCTGATCTGTCACGTGCGCATTGCCGACACAGTCTTAAAAAACTCTCATGTGCCTCGTATATCATATTATATTTACATTCTTTTTGTATTTCTATTTATTCGTATTTCCCATTGACATACTATATTTTGCTATGTCTATTAATAATCATTTTGGTATTATTTTCCTTTCTCTCCATATAATCTAACACATAGTCCACCTTTTTTTTTTCGTGGGGAAATGTTCCAGTAATGAAACGTCCGCCTTCATGAAGGGGTGCGGACGAATACTGTGGAAGCCGACCCACCAAAACCCCCCGGTTTTGTTGTTCCGCTCATACACGATTAGTCGCCGACGTCTCGGGCTCGCTTCCGCATTCGGCCGAGACGCGGCCGCATTCTCCAATTAAGGAGCCGCCTCCGAGTGTGGGGCACGCGGACAACTCCGCGCCCACCCTCACAGATCACTCGCCTCCTTGGAGCTTCGGATGCCCCTACATCCTCCACTCCCAGTGTCCAACTTGGGGCTTCAGGTGGAAAAACACCTAACTCATGCTAGGTCATTCTTGACTCTCAAACCTATACTTATTACATTCACAACAAACACATTCTTACTTCATATTTCATTTTTCAATCATATACCTACATCGATTTATAAAATGTATATATTTTTTTTATTTAATTTCGTCATATGAAGTTATCTAAAAATATTATGATTTTTTTTTATTAAATCATGGACGGAATTATGGATAAAGGCTAATAGGTATAGTTTTTAGAATAATATTACCAACGTTCGTTAGGAACGTCATTGTGTAGGCGTGTATACGTAGGAATATGTAGCGAGGTAACATATAATTGAAATTGAGAGAAGGTTATTAGAGCTAGTATAAAATGATTTAAATGTACTACTAAAGTTTTACAGCAAATGCCTACATGCATGAAGATTTTATTAGCATTTGTCATAACTCCTATATATTCGTAATAATGGTCTCCGAGAATGAGTATTAGAAACTGCATATCGCTTTGGATATCAGCAATTGTTGACTTAATAATAATAAGCATAAAATGTGACAAATAATGGGTATTGTATTGAATTTGTTTGAAGTTAATTGTATTATTTTAATCCAATAGGTATACGAACAAAAAAAAAAATATCGTCAAAATAAATGAAAGTCAAATTATTGGAAAACTTTTTAATAAATACATTCACAAATTGCAAACATAACAAGAAGCATAAAATCTTGGCATTACAGTGACACAAAATATACATATACATGTCATATAGACAACAAAAGTTATAATATCTTTTTTATCTTTGGCACGATAATAATTTTCTATATTAAAACAAAAAAATGATGTTATTTCACAAAAAATACTTGTTTCAGCTGACTATTTGGGTCATCTGAGCACAGTGATGACTGATATGTTAGCAGGTACAGATTTCAACAGCCTAATACTAATAACCGGGTGATTATATCTATTTACACACGACACTAACTACTTTACGTATTGTCACTAATGCGCTACACGTCACATAAAATTAACGAACACATTATATCATCCAAACAAGTTATACGTACAACTAACTATAATTCTATTCGCGAGAATCTTTATTTGGACTAAAATTTGCAATTGCTCAATGATTTACAACCCAAAGTACCATTGTTTCCTCCTTTTTCTTAAATTATTGAATGGAGACAGTATGCGAAAGCTCTACCGGGAGAAAACCGATAACTGATTATAATCATAAACATTGCTGTGGATGTCAAAGAACATTATTTATAGTCTATAATACACTTCAGGCATGCCACATCTGAGGACGAAGGTGTTATACTTGTATCAGAGGTAATCGGTTTTATGGGTGTTAAAAATGCTACTAGAATTTGATCAGGTGATTTTTGTAACACTATGGCAGCGCTACCAGGAGTTGGTGAGCGAACCATTTCAACATCTTATGATGAGGATTTACATTTAGAACCTGAGTAGTGCAAATGTGATGAGCATTAAGACAGTAGCGGCAACAGGGACCGACGCTGAGTTACACCCATCTTCCAGACATGAACATACTTCTTGTCTGCCTCCAAATCCTGATCTCTGGTAGCAACGACCCTGTGAAAAAGATTTAATACGTAACGAAATGTAATAAATAATTATCGATTGTATTCTAGTTAGATATTACTTAACTGTTTTACTAAATCTCTTATATGTAGCATCACAAAAGTAAGCTACTGCATATTATAATAACTTTGAGTTGAGAGAAAACATTCCCAATCACCACCGCAATGGACTGCCTGTATCCAACTGACTACGATGCAGTCCATTCTGGAATGTTCCTGTGCAGCCAAAAACCATACTTGATGAAGACAAATTGCGGGGAGCTCTATCATTAAAGAGGACAAATAAAAGCATTAGTTTTGTCTTTATATCATTAGTTAAAGCAATTTTTTAGACTTACCTTGTAGCTGCTTTCGTCCCATCCACATCCTCTGATCACTCTGCTGTCTGGTGGCATACCGTTCATCTCGAATTCCACCACCTGGGATATCTTCCTGCACATGGTGTCCTTGGGTCCACACGGTAACCGTAGCGAGTCGGGGAGTTTGTCCAAGAGGCATCTGGAGTCATTGTGGCTATTGCACTGATAGCAGGTGATTGCTAATCCTGAAGAAACAAAAATCGTTTAAGAGAAATTGAAGTTGTACATACAGGAATCTATATAGTAGTACATTTTATCCACACATGGAAAGCCGAAGGTACAATACCATATAGCCAAATACTATGACATATATAGGACCTCAATTAAATAAGTATACATTTCAAAAGGTTATTAAATGTGTGAATTAAAACAAACCTTAAGTGGACAAAAAACCAATCAAACTTAACATAGCCGTTTAGGACGGCCTTTTGTCTTTCGTAAAATGAAAATGAAAAGGTGATCTAAGATGTCATGTTTCAGTATTCCATAATATGACTGTGGTATCACAGCCATCAATTTTATTGGAAATTATTACTTTATTTACTTCACCAACTTAATGTTTAATATTTTGACTCTTATTTATTCGAGGTTTCGTACAATTTTACAGTGTTTGTACACTCATATTAAATTGTAAAGTTATAACATTTTTTTGGCAGAGCAAGTGATTTTCTTGTAAATCTATAAAATAAAACTATTATTTTGCTCAGCTATATAGCTTTCCAAATAAATGATTTTCCCATTTATTTGGAAAGCTGAAAGCTAGCTAAGCAAAATGAACTAAAATATGGCTATTAAAAGGTGGTTACATTTAACTTTATTTGAATAAAGAGTTTTTTATTGTATTCAGCAGCCGCGTAGGAATTTTCAACAGCAGCTTGATAGCTGGCAAATTTGTATGAAAATCACTGCTCAATTTTTTCTATTTCTATAATTATCCGCTTTTTGGTATTTTGTATTTAACAAAATAATAAACATCTCTTGTCTTCATATTATTTCTATTTTATTTTAATCAGGACAGATTACATATATTCTACTAAGCTGCGTCAAAAGTATAATAGATTATAAAAACAATATTTGAACCGCATAATATTATAGAACCAACATATATATAATCTTAACAAATACATATTTAAAAAGAGTGATTTGTTTAAATTTTGGTAATGGATTTTAAACATTCTTTGACCTACAGAGTAATCTGTGCTAAATGTGATAATGTAGCTGACATTATCACAGATTACTCTGTAAATTATACCTATTTGTTGACATAATAAAAATAGACACATCAACGTTAATAGTAACTCTTTGAAGCCATATATAAATAGCACTGTGTAAATATTTTCGAATACCGCGAAAGTAACTACAGATACGCGGGAGGATGTCTATAATAAAGGTTTTTTTTATGGGTGATAATGGAATGATGCACTCGCCTGCGCTAACGGTTTAAATATTTGTAGGCGTAGTAAATTGCCATTTTCGAGATCGAAAGTAACTACAGTTTCATCTTATCATCCTCCGCTGATGTCTTGTCAGGATGTCTATAATAAAATGATGCACTCGCCTTTTTTATGGATGATAAGATCATGGAATGATGCGGGATGTCTATAATAAAGGTTTTTTTATGGATGATAATGGAATGATGCACTCGCCTGCGCTAACGGTTTACGCTGGCGGAGCACCTGTGGAGGATGATAAGATAAGCATGAGGTCAAGTAAGTTGGCACATCATAACAAATTCACCAAGAATTTATCACGATGCTTTATAGGGGGATCCGCGTGGAGGTAAAACTGACATGGTACATTGCTACCAATAAGATTATCAGTTCACATTACAAACAATGCCTTTTCCGCCCCTATTATAAAGGTATTAGTTGTCGTTGTATAATAAAATCTTTGATTTCCCACACCTATTTTGCCGCCTATATGTTTCTGTGTGAAGGGTATGAAATTACTGAATACGGAGCCTCATGCCTAATATGACTAAGATATCATCACCATACTCAACAGAAACGGGAACAGAAAAGGTACCACGGGCGTCAAAAAGAATTTTGTGATGACTTTTATCATGCTATCCTATATAATGCTATTTATGTACATAGGCGATATTAAGCATCTATACCTGAGGTGTGCTATCTATTTTTTTTTTATTTATTTCGAAAACTTCTGGATAATATTATAAACGAAGTTTGTCAGTGGAAGTGTGTTTTTTACACTTTCACGTAAAAACTACTGAGTGAATTTTAATGAAACTTTACAATAATATAGTTTATACATCAGAATAACAGACTACAAATTTCGCGCAAGTGAAACGCCGTCATAGCTAGTATTACATAAAAAAACTGATCACGAATAAACCCTTCGATTATAATACCTATTCGACTCTCCAGAACCAGCATGTCAATGAAAACAAGCCCATCATTTTGTACAATAATCACAAACCTTCATGTAGTACACTGCATATTACCGCCAAAAACCAAATAAACGCAAGCGCCATTTTGAATATTTTGACAGGTAATCGCTGGATTTAACCGCCGAGCACCGCGCCCTGCCACACTCAACACAGCACTGAATGGGTGTGGGATTGAGGGATAGTCGTTAGGTACATATTCTTGTGATCTAATTCTAAGCCAGCACCGCCGTTTATTCAATTGTCGTAATTCTATGATAAATTGTCTGTGATACAGCACGTGAGTATCGGTTATGGGCAATTGGCGATTCGGTTATTTCAGTCTTACAATGCTACAAAGGTTTTCAGTTGTCGGAGTGTCAATTTATATTTCTGAATGAATCCGCTGAATGAAACAGTGATAAACCAAATTAATCCGAAAAAGGTAGCTATTTCTGATTCATTTATATTTAATGGTTGATAATGGAATGATGCACCCGTCTGCGCTAACGGTTTACTCTGACAAGACATCAGCGGAGGATGATAAGATGAAACTTGAGGTCAGGTTACTTAGGCCATCTCGCAAAATGGCAATTTACTGCGATAGTTTCCAGAAATGAGGTTATTAGTCCACATTCAAATTCACGTCCGAATTCACTACGAATGTATCATGAATACACTGGAAAACATTGGGTAACTGATCTGACCTCGTGTTCATCTTATCATCCTCCACTGATGCCCCGCCAGCGTAAACCGTTAGCGCAGACTTTCCATTATCATCCATTACAAATAAAGACTTATGAGGACCTACTGCACTATGCTAGCTGACATACCGAGATTTAATATTTAAGTTGCTATTATGTTGTTGATGAAAATTTACTGTAATGTTACAATTATGATATCCTACACAATTTGTATTGTTTTAAATTAAAAAAAAATATTTCAGCTGCCAAGCAGTTTGCTTTGTTCCGCTTGTAGAGTAAGATAAGACAGCAAAATTACAAGATTTAATAATGTCATTTAAATATCCTTGGACAATTCACGCAGCGCCGTCATATTCCAAGATAAGCAGAGCTTGTGTGGGTACTAGACAACTGCTATATATACTTAGATACACCCAGACTAATACAAACAATCATACTCACGAATACAAATGTTAGAAACATGTACATGTGCGAGGAAACGAACCCACGCCCATCAGACGTAAAATGGTGTGCTAAACCGCTAGACTACTGAGGCTGTCTACTGAAAATATACAGCATCTTAGTTCCCGGAATGGCAAAGCATGATCTGTATCACGGACGAAACATGATAACGTGACGTTCTTCTTTTTCGGACTACTCTAATACTGTTGGCCGCAGCTGGACTTTCAGCTTCACCGGACGATAGGGGGCGAGTGCAGGAGACACTCTAAACCTGGGGAAGGACTTATGGAGAGGCTGAAGGCCAACTCCCGCCTGACAGAAACGACTTTACTCTGAAGGTACCGTAGAAGAAGGTATTAAATTAGGTCTGCAATTACAACGGCCTACGTAATTTCGAACCCTATTTGGATTGAACGGCGATCGGAGAGTCCGTGTATGTTTAAGTGCTATCGACGGTTACCACTTACCATCAAATGGGTCGTCAGCTGATTTAATATATATAAAGTTATATAAATAAATATAAAATTATATTTAATATTTTTATAAATTACTAGCTGTGCCCTCGGTTTCACCCGCGTTAAATTTCAATAAAAAGTATAGCCTATGTGTTATTCTGATATCTTTTGATTGTCTTAGACCGTTTAAAGAGGAATAATTCTTTCATACAATTTTTTTGGGTTACTAGAACTGTTTTAGCAACGGAAGCCCTTAAATATGAATAATTTTCCCCGTTTCTCATTTTTTGACAACATTTTTCAATAATGCTCCGCTTCTATTGGTTTGAAGCGTATTTATCTTAAAGCCTTTCTCGACAAGTGAACTATCCAACACAAAAAGAATTTTCAATTCGAACTCAAACGTTCAAACAAACAAACTCTTTAGCTTTATAATATTATAAGTGTAGATTAAGATTAAGATATACAGTTTATAAATTATATACGTTTAATTTGTATAAATTATATAGAGTCTGTGTGTACAGTGAGTGAATGAGAGTTGTGTAAGTCGGTTGCCAGGTTGCGTGGTCGAGTTCCACCGCCCTCGCCTCAGCTGACGGTGATTTCCATTGAATATATCCTGCGTACACGCACACGACCTAATGCTGTTAGGACACATGTACACGCAGTCCAAAATATAGTTATAAATTAGTTGTAAAGTGAATAAATATTTTTATGGAGTTTTTTAAGAAACCCTTCTTAAAAATCCCCATTACATATTAAGATTTCTTAAAGGTTGGTAATAGATGATTCAGTTTATAGTCCAAGAACATTTTAATTTAAATCATCATGTGACCAGTTTTGGCGCAATATATAAGAATAAGTCAAGCAAATACGTGAATAATAATATTCATAAACAAATTTTAATTTAATTTGAAGGGAAAGAGAGGAAAATTTTAAAAATATGGCTGAAAAACCCTTTTCAAATAAAAGTTAACTGGAAATAAATGGACTGTTAGTGAAATAAAATAATTTAATCTAGTACCTAGTAGGATATATCAGAGACTGACCTTGTTGTATTGCTTGGATACCTATAATTCTTCTACAATAGATCGCATTTAGTCTTTTATCGCGTTTATTCAGCTATCCACTGTGTTTTGACCTCGTGTTCCAAAGAATATAACAATCTAGAGTTGGTTTTGTGATAGAATAAATTAAACACACATACTTACTTATTAAGTAAATTGTTATTGGTATTAATATTAATTTTTAATTTATATTTATTATTAATTTAAGTTTTATGTTTTCTATTTCAAATGAAGGCAATAAGATTTTTAGAAAAGGCATTTTTTTTAACGAATTATATTGGAATGTTGCACCCGTCTCCGTCCCCCACAAAAGAACAAGTAGATTCAATAGCTAAAAAGAACAGGTATATTCAATAGCTAATAATAATTTATATCCCTTCCGATCGAACCCCAGTCGTCTCCTCCGATAGATCCCCCGTCCAATTTCAACGGGGATATAAATTATGACGGCTTAAGCCGAGATTCGAACCCCTAGCTCTACCTTCAGACTAAAGTCGTATACGTCAGACACGAGTTAGCCTTCAGCCGCTCTATAAATGCCATCTGCACTACTGCTATCGTTCGCTAAAGGCCAGCTGCGGCCAACAGCTTTAGAAAAGTTCGAATAAAACTCTTTATATCATATTGCATTGTTTACAAACTAAATACTGTAAGGAAAATTGTAAATGTTTGGATAGACCAATTTAAAGGAATAATGATTCTACTGTGACATACCACGTAAAATAATAAAAAGAAATATAAACTTTAATAATTACAAAATGATAAATGTCCTTAACCTGATATCACCACTACCTTGCGGCTAAAATATAAATTAAAAAAATAATATAATCTGTGAAAGGCAAATTAATAAAACATTATCTGTATTGTCGCGGCCGTGTATGTCGTTCGTGTGTACAGTACGATTACAGCGACAATTGGTAGAATTGTCGGGCTGTAATCAACTCGGCACTTCCGGCCAATCTGCCGCACATACTGACAAACATGCACGTTTCCTGCACCGATCCCGCTGTGAGTAGATATCCTGCCGAAATCTACTCATCAAGGTTCATCACCTTTGATATACAAACATTGACATACTAGCGACCCGCCACGTATTCGCACGAGAGGTATTGTTCTATGCTAGCTATCTCTATAGTTCTGAAAATAAAATATACAGATTGATGATCTGATATATTATATCATATTTATTAACAAAAACCTATTTCTCGGGGAGAAGGGGATTAGTAATGTGGACTCGTGACCCCATTAGCAGCAATGTACCATGTCAGATTGACCTCCACGCGGTGCCCCCTGGAAACCATCGTGATAAATTCCTGGTGAATTTGTCATGTCTAACTCACCTGACCTCATGTTCATCTTATCATTCTCCACTGATGACCCGACAGCCTATACCGTTAGCGCAGGCGGGTGCACCATTCCATTATCATCCGTTAAAAAAGGCCTACTACTCACTACGCGATTACTTAAATGAGAAACGGGCATGGCAATAATTGTTCATGCAAGTGTTAATTTAATGTTAGACATATAAGTATACAATGAAAATAAACTGGCTCTTAAAAAGAAATTTAGTTACGTTTCTTGTCCGTTCTTCTCTATTGAATGTGTATATTAACAATGATCTTTACCCCCGCATTAAGTGGTCGGTACATTGTTAGCATTACTAACAGTCCCCCCCTACGGGGTAAGAATGTGTAAATTCACAAAATATATGTCTATACATATATCTAATAATTAATATACATATATATAAAATTCTTGAGTCACAATGTTAGCATTACCATACTAATCCGAAACAGCATGACAAAATTTTATATACATATTCAGTAGGTCTGAGAGTCATACTAATAATATTATTAGCTACTATCTATTTTTCATACCCCCAAGTGATAAGAGTTGTCCATCCCTAACAGTTTTTGTTATTTTTTGGACAAATTTTATTTTTTTATAACGTGGCATTAAAAATCCACTCAATCCTAAATTTTACCAACCCCTATTTTTTAATAGGGATTTTAATTTATATAGCAAAACGAAGTTTACGGGGTCAGCTAGTAATAGAATAAATATGTATATATAGGCGTGACGTCGACCCCTCCAGGGCAGCACATAGAAAAAAATATACTTTTACCGTGTCAAATCGCGGTCGAAGTATAAAACAATATACAACAATACAATGTGTTGTATTGTTGTATATTGTATAAGAAACACAACACACTAAATAAGATAATAATATAAAAAGAGCCACAAGGTCATGCACGCTCCCAACAATTAATCTAAAAAATAACGCACTCACTTCCTGTAAAGTTTATAATGACAAAGGCCAATAGTATAAAATGAGATAAAAGTAAGCCTTCTTGGGCTTACCCTTGCGGTAGATATGTTATTTGTAATGCAAACATTTCACCAATAACAACACAGGCGTTTACTTGTCAAATATTTGTCTCAAATAACCTCATCAAGATAGTGTAAGCACAGTCTTTGTATTTGCTATAGGTTTATGGATATATTCTACCTTTCTGTAAGTTATTATTATTTAATGTTATTATAAATAATATCCACTGTTACCAAGGAAAGGAAGAAAGATAATATTCATTATAAATGAGCAAACTTTGATAAAATAACAAAACAATTGTATTACTCTGAGTGTTTTTATGTACATTATGTATGTTTACCAAAAAACTTATTTATTAAATTCAATAATTTTATCAGTATAGTACCCATAACAGGAGCTCCACTTAGCTTAGGACTAGATGGCGCTGTGTGAGTTGTCAGGAGTAATCTTTATTTTTAACTATATTAGTAGTCATATTACTTTGAAAAGAGAAGTCAATAATGATTTACCTAGATTTAATATCGATATCGGTTCATTCAGGAATTTAGCACTACAAACTACTTATACCTCCTTGACATTTATTACGTATTATAACGGAGCAGGTATACATAAGTAAAAGAAATTAAACGATATTTATTTGCTTAAAGTTGTAAGCAGGTATATGTTACCTTTCATTATCAGCAATAAAGTAAAATCAATGCAAATGAAAGAAAAAAAAATTAAAATTGGACTGGCAACCAGACGCTCAGAAACAATGCATATCACATAAAAAAGAAAGAAAAAAAATATTTTTAAAATTCGAATGGCAAAATGGCAGACGGCTGACATGGTGGTAAATGATAACCGCCTATTTACACGAAGTTCACGTCGTCATGTATCCACGTACGTACGTCAAGGACTGAATTGTAATGGTTCCAGACTGTAATAACAGACGCTGTAATTTTATATCCTTCAACCAAAACATATTTACAAAGCAGGCTGAAACCATCGAAACCGAGGTCTACGAATACAACTTTATATGAATATACACTTTGTACAAAGTCGTTTGGTCAAAAACAAGGTAGAAATAAAAGTTTAATGTTAGGTAAAACTGAAAAAAAAATATATATATATTCGTAGTTATAAGATATGCCGTAATGATCAGTGAATAAATTTTGGTGTTTGTATTTTCCTTTTGTTGTTATAAATTATCTTGTATTGTATATTTGTTTTGTTCCTTAATTGTAACAACAACTGATTAAAAAATCTTTCATTCTACACCTACTTCTTTTATGGGAGAAAAGCTATGCCCAACAGTGGAATGTGATTATTCTATGTAGTGTAGTAAATAGCTTATATACTGTCAATTTAAATATTAATAATTTAAGATATCATATACTTACCTTTTTCTAGAGATTAAAACCGAATCTAACCAGATGCCACATGCTGTGTCGCAACGGGAACGGATGAACTTGTTAAATAACCAAGCAACATCGACAAACAGACAGTTTATAACTGACTTTAGATGAAGTGAAACGAATCCCTAAGCTTAGGTTGAAATTTAATTAAGTACTTGAGTTTTAGTTTAACTCATAAATTATTATATTAATTCAGCATGAACTCTACTATCTAACTCCTGTAATTAATTCGTTAGCAAAGTTTCAAATAAGAAATATTGCCAGACAATTTGTCGGGCGTTGAATTTATTTTTATCAATATTTCAATATAACTCGATGGCGGTTACAAATAAAATAATTTCATATATTTTAATATCAATACTCATTTCAAATAGTAAGTTTTAATATAAATTAATGTATTTTTTAATACTAAAATAAGTTACTACCTTAATTGTTCTTTTAGTGGGTAGAATCTATATAAAATCGTCTGATTGAGTACCTTTGTAATACCCATTTTCGCCGCCAAGCAGTTTCCTTTATAAGTTGTGATTATAACAGTGAAATTTCACGGTGAGAAGGCATTTTAGTCCTGAGGAATGACAACTAAACAATAGTCATCACATGGTAACGTGATCTCCATCCTTCATTACTATAGGCGATGTTTGTAATTTCTTGTGTGGATACTTTGCTTGCGGCTTGTTTGCCATTCCATATACTGACTTAACATTTTAAGTAACAAAATGTTAAATCTGTATATTCTATTTCAGTTTTAAGATAGTCTATCTCTTCCTTTTTTAGATGGATATATTGTGTTCTAGGTGAAGCAATCAAATGTTTCGATTGCAACAGCGCAAACAACTCCGCGTGTTTAGACATACATCTGCATAAGATGAAAGAGGTCATACCGATAGTGGACTGCGCGAAGTCACTCCCACACTTCATCAGCAAACAATTTTTCTGTAGAAAAATGACACAAACTCGTAAGTTTTTATACCATTTTTACAGCATGAATGCAAACGAAATTGCGGCTCACCTGATGGCAAGTGATTACCGTCGCCCATGAGTATGCATAACACCAGGGGAATAGTAAGTGCGGTGCTCGCCTTTTATGTAGGAACATGATCTTTTCTTGAGAGATTCAATATCGTATCGGTCTGGAAATACCATAGCTGAGTGATGTAATGTGGTTAATCCATGACAAGTTTCTGAAAAAATATATAATATGCTGAAAGTATTCCAGGTCAGTATAATTTAAATCTTAAGGCAGAGGCCAAACGTTCGCTATCTCTCGATTAATTTTAGTGTTTCCATCACTGAAAGTTCAGTGAAAAATATACATAATAAAAATTAGACATATGAAGTTTTTTTTTATGTTGGATAGATTTATCCAATTTTTTATTTTATAAATAAGATCATTTGTAATGTGTAGGTATTTTTTTTATTGGGGGGGTTTGGGCTATTGTCATTTGCTAAGACCTGTAACACTGCGACCTGTATATATCTATTGTGCCCGCCCTTATTCAAAGTTCGCTACCTAAACCCGTTACAGACAAGAATTGAAGGATATTCTTATTGGTGTGATGTGATGATTGGGATATTTTTGTTGATATTATTATTCTTATAGTGATTGGTATTTATCCTAATGATAGAAGGTATACTTTCCAAAGGATATATTTCATTTATGCATGAGAGGGCTACAACCACATAGGATGTGTTGGTAACTCGTTAATACCAGCACGAACTACTATACACCGGTGTACACAATACATGGGAGTGATTGTAGTCAGAGGATGTCATGATAGTACGTCGACAGTACAATAGCTCAATAATGCAGCATAATGCCAGAAAAAAGTAGTAACGCCAAAATTACCGGTGCGTGCACACTCTGATTCTGATTGGATCTGTTTTTTTTTAATAGAATTATTCATTCAAGTTTAATTTATTTTAAAATTATTGAATATTCTTTTATTATTTTGCCGCTACATTAAACAGAAAAGAATAGGCAACTAATATTGTACTCAATAAAATATCGAATATCGGACAGATCAAGTAGGGAATTATATTTGCCATAGTTATAATTTTATAATAATTAAATTTTCTCTTATTAGAGTTATCTTAATTATGATAATTTCTAAAGTGAAGTTTTGTTAGTCTTTAACAATTAAAAAAAATATATCCAATTGTCATGAAAGCCAATCTAATGATGCCAGATTAGGCAGGCTAATCTCCAGTGCAAGATAAAATGAGGATGAGATCACATGACTTTGCTGCAATGGTCTACGTCATGGGGATTTTCAGGAAGGGTATTTAAGGTTTCTTAAGCGTAGGCGTCACCTTTGGTGTTTCAAGCTTCCATAGGCTATGGTAACCGTTTCCCATGAGATGGTCCGTATGATTATTTGCCACTATCGTAGGATAAATAAATATATAACTTTCTCTTACTTATATAGTACAGGATAGGTAGTTCAATCAAGTTTCTTTTTCAGTTCTTCATCCAGATAAAACTCCCGAAGTCAGGGTGTACCGCAGCTGTGGATGGGTAAAGCATAAAAGAGAATGTTACACCAACGACAATAAAGACCATCTAGAAACAGTTTGTCAATGTTTCGGAGACATGTGCAATGCGGCAGCAACGTTACAAGTAAATAAAATGACAACTCTAATTGTGTCTGCCGCCATTTTGTATTTATTGCATAGTTGGCGGGAAAAAGTTTAAACATGTTAGTTTAAATAGATATTATGTAATATTTATTTGTTAAGGAACGAATAGCCAAAATATAAAATATTATAAATGCGAAAGTAACTCTTCTGTCTGTCTGTCTGTCTGTCTGTCTGTCTCGCTTTCACGCCAAAACTACTAACCGATTTAAATGAAATTTGGTACGCAGATAGCCTATACGCCGAGGAAGGACATAGGCTACTTTTTAATGCGAAAAAAGGGTTGTAAGGGGTTGAAAATGGAAATACAAGGTTATCTTTATGCGGTTTAATACACACATAGTATAATACTGGCTTAACTAAAAAATTAGAAATTTTGGAAAGTCTACTTTATAACTGTGGTATTAAGTCTAACTTTAAAAAAAATAAATTTCTGAATTACACCAATATTGTACTAGATATGCGACATAAATAAACATAAATGTCATTTGTATAAGCAGCGCGCATGCGAAGTTGCGCGAGCAACTGATTATTGTCAATCCGTTGTCTCCTTATAAATTTAAATGTATAATCGTTTGCTCCGCAATATTATTTTATAAATACATAAATATAATCCTGGTACGGGCTATAACTGATGACCCTGCTCTTGGACAAGATCGTAATCACATATTATTAATATTTTTGAAGATTAAAACAATATATAATATTAAGAATGAAGTTGTCTATACATATGAACAACATTTCCTTGGAAGAAACAACATCTACGTTCCATCCAGCTATTCAGGGTCGGAATGTTTCTCCCTTCTGCCAGTAGAGTCAAAGTATAGTTTGCGCAAGTAGAGGGATGTTTGCAATTCAGAATATCACATCTATTATTTTGATTTAACAAATTTTTATTATGTTATTGGCCAACTGGACCACCAATTTACAAAAGAAGTTAAAGAAATTTTTACACTATACATTAAATATAAATAAATATGACATTTAAATTTGTAAAAATGTCACCATTCAAGGGGTAAAGTAAAATAGCAGATAATAGTTTTTATGGAAATTCGTCATATTTGAAGCTAGAGCCATGAAACTTTTTTCATTCGCTTTTTTGTCAGTTGGTCAGTTTAATAAATACCTTACTAATATTACGACTCTCACTTAAATGCCAAAATTACTGTACTGATTTAAATTAAGTTTAAAATCTAGATCCTGAGAAAGGACATAGGTTACTTTTTAATCCGAAAAAGGGTTATAAGAGATTGAAAGAGGAGGTTATATAGAAGTATCGTCATTTTTAAAGGTTGAAGCTTGAATCTTATTTTTTGCGTATTGATTAAATATAATTAACGAAAATGGGTTGTAAGGGTCAAAAGGTGAAATATGGTATGCAAGTATTGACATTTTTAAAGCTAGAAGCTTGAAACTTATTTTTTAGGCTGTTGAGAAAATATTAGTACCTTCACAGGACTCAGCCATAAGTGAAAATTTCATTTTTGGAGCTAGAACGATGAAACTTTTTTATTGGGTTATATTATTAATACATATATTTTATTATTTGGTTAAGGTCACTATTTTACGCGGACGAAGTCGCGGGTACAGCTAGTATAAAATATTTTGTTCTAAACGGAATGGACTAACCATTTGTTTTATTTTCTTATTCCTATATTATATTAAAGTTTTGTATATAATCAGTTTTGATAAATTAGAGGTCAATCGTCGAATCCAACTCGGATGGGCAGCGTTTGGGAAGCTCCGATATATCTTTTCGTCCAAATCTCTGCAGTGTCTCAAGACGAGGGTTTACGACCAATGTGTGTTGCCAGTGATGACTTACGGCACAGAATGGTCGCTAACTATGGGCCTCATGAACAAACTCTGAGTCACTCAGAGGGCAATGGAGAGGGCTACGCTCGGAGTTTCTCTGCGTGATCGAATCAGAAATGTGCAGATCCGCAGAAGAACCAGGGTGACCGATCGTCGTGGAGATCTTTGGGGGAGGCCTATGTCCAGCAATGGACGTCTTCCGGGCTAAGATGATGATGATGATGATTAATAGAATGGGTGTAATATTTAAAAAATGGCGACACTCAGAGAAATAATAAAATAATAACTGTTCTCAAGGAGTACCAGAACACCACCTATTAGAATAACATGATCATTTATACTAAAGTCTCAAATATTGAAATTGAAATTTCACTTAATTGCCCTAATTATTGTGATTTTCGGAAAAGTTGTTCAATTTCATTCAATTATATCTACGGTTTCAGTTTATTAAAGCAATTTCATTTAATTCTCTCTTAAAAATGTCTTTATTACAAAGTTTAATTTTAGTATTAAACTAATTTATTCCAGAATAATACCACAAAATGTAGAACAGACAATGATGTATAGAATTAACTTAACCATCGCAGTGTCTCTACGTCAGTCGTGGTTACAACTCGTAAAGTGATTAAATAAATATCTATTCATTTATACTCGTAATTTACACAGTCCAACACAGAATTGTATAAATAACCTTTAACGATAATAAAACGTAATTAATAACAAAGATAATGAAATTAATAGGATCCGCAATTATATTTACGATCTGTTTGCGAATTGGTAAGTATAGTTTTAAATTTACTTTTAAAATTTTTAACGGCGCCGGCAGACAGCGATTTTGCACACTACCTCCGATGGTTTCATTCCTCGTACGGTACATACATTTGTGTTCACAAGTTTGTATCGGTCTGGTGTATCCCCCCCCCCCCCCTCTCTCCTTTCGAGCTCGGACGTCGACTACGATGGACTTCAGCATACAGATGTTTGCACGTTGCGAGGAATCGAACCCGCGACCATCGAAAGTAAGACGGTGTGCTAATCCGCTACACCATCAAGGCTGTCAAATTTATGGCGTGCTTGATATATTTTAAACTGCATGTTTCAGCGGCCAGCATCCGTTGCTATGTCATTTTTACAAAACACTTCCACCAACAATTCTAGATAGTGTCAGCTATAATACTGTTCGTTAATGCACCAGCTCTAACAATTCCATGTGCTTGGACCCTACGATATACGATAAGGAGACAGTCAAAAACTTCCTGAGGTCCACGGACTGCGAGCAAGGTGTCTTCTCAGCACGGCATAAGGATTTCTTTTGCAGGAAAATTGTACAGACCAGTGAGTACGATGTTTTGTGTAAAGTCGACGAAAGCGCACTTGAAATTGGGTGTTTATGGCCGGTGGTAATCGCTTACAATCTGGTGAGCCGCAAGCTCATTTGTCGCCTATGCCGTACATATTTATACAGTAATACCCAAAAGTTATTGTATCCAAATATTTATTCAAAACATTTCACACTCAACACTGATATTTTATTTGATGATTCATCTCTTTCTCTAAATACTCTCTTTAAAAATGAATCCCCATTTCCCTTGATCACGCCATAACTTAACCGATTTTATTAATCTTTTTAACAAAACAATAAAATTATTGACTTAAAATATTTTGTAAATGTTCTAAAAACAATAAATAGATAAAAATGGAGTACCCATAACACAAGCTTAGCTTAGATATGGCGTTATGTGCATTCTCTAGGGTTACTATCTAAGTTACGGCGGACAATACCGCGTGGCACAGCTAGTAGATAATAAGCTGTTCACTTTATTAAGAATATGCATTCATTGGACATCGTTTGTAAATATAATGTATGTTAGACGAGATAAGAAGTTCAAAGAGTCAATGTCGGTAGAAATAGCTTCTCCAGTTTGTAAACAATAGGCTATGCACTTTATAATAGTTATATATTTATAGTAACAGTCTCAATTGCAACTTAATTTTGATTAGTAAACATTTTTTTAAAAGAAGTAAAGATATAGCACACGTTAAAAACACTCGTTTTGAGACGAATAAATTGTTTATTCATTAAAAACATTGTAAATAACAATTTCTTTCTATTTCTAAATTAATTCTAAACTATTTTTATATTTTATTATTATTTATATAAAATTATATTTTATTTTAATATGTAAACTTAAAAAGTTAGGATTTTGCAATGGTACAGACCTTATTACTTGCAGGTATCTGCATTATATTTTCAAAAAATGAGATATTCCTACAATAAATGCGCTGGTGCGATTACGGGACGGATGTCTAGTAATCAGAATTAATAACAATATTAAAATAGGAAAATAAAAAAAGTGTAAAATAAGTTGTAAAAAGTGAGAATTAAAAAAAATTTATTTACATATAATATATAGTCTGCGTTAGACACCATTAGCAGCCAGTATGTAAGCGACTCCACTTTTTTAAAAAAAAACTAATTATAAATTCAAACTCATTACAGACTTTTATGATATGTCAAATCTACCGCCAGTTCGGAATGCTTTCGAGATGAGATGAACCGACAAGAAATTCAGCTCGTATTCGTTTCAAATAAATCTATTAAATGTTTACAATAAATAAATTCGTTCATTATTACAGTTCTACATAAAAACCACGACTCTGAGGTACGCGTAACCAGGGGCTGCGGTTGGGTGCGTCATCACCGCGACTGTTATAAAGCGGACAACGAGGACCACCTCGAGACCGTCTGCCAGTGCTTCAACGATGACTGCAACCGCGGCGGCACCCTCGACAGCCTATCACCCATGCTTATACCGTTCAGCATCCTAGTTTTGAGATTTTAATTAATAAATATTTATGCATTATGTTGTTGTTTCCTTTGTTAGTAATGTGGAGGCAAGATCACATTGCTAGCGATGTACCATGTCAAGTTGACCTCCATGCGGTTTTCCCTGGAATCCCTTACGATAAATACGTGGTGAATTTGTCACAATGGGCTAACTAACCTGACCTCATGTTCATCTTATCCTTCACTTTTGCCCCGCCAGCGTAAACTGTTAGCGCAGGCGGATGCAGTATTCCATTATTATCCGCTAAAAAAATATATTCGCGTGTTATAATTTCTCGGTCATTTTTACAAAACACTTCCACCAACAATTCTAGATAGTGTCAGCTATAATCGACCACTGTTCGTTACAATGAAATATTGTTTGCCATACGGACGCTGATTCAGCATTTTATATTTTCACCATGAGACCAAGGATTAAGCTAAAAAGAAGTGGCACACTTCGGTACCAACACCGACCGGAGAGAGTATCACGGTTATTTGTCCTTTGCCCAATTTGGATTTGTCTTAGAAAATAAAATCGTTTAATTTACGTGCATATTTATTGTTCTTAATAAATGAAACTATATAAAATTCTAAATTAAACTTGTACAAGAAACATGCTTTGTTACATTATTCCGTTTACGCCGACACCAATCATTGATCACATTCTTGTAATAATATAAGACTTACACATTTTAAAATATCTAAGCTAACAGACGAAAATCGGATTTTTTTTGTAAATAGCAATTAAATTCAAATATCTCGAAAACGGTTAGATTTAGGATAGGGTGTCTCTGTAGTGTGAAATGATGTAAAATATACGCCCTTAACGAGAATAGGGCGACTTAACCAGTAATCCGTATAATATTTTAAATTACAAGAGTGCAATAAAAATGGTTGGTCTCTGTTCAAGATAAATTAAGCGAGATTCATACTTGTATGTAGTATTGAAATTTAACAATTATATATTCTGTATTTTATTGTAATCGTACATGAATTATTCGTAAATTTGGTTTCGTACTTTCGTTTCCAACGCCATCTGTTGACACCGTTAGGAACTAATGATCACATGAAACTACAACAACTTATGACAGATGGCAGCACTGTGCTTGTATCTGCGCTATAGTATTGCAACTTTGTTGTTTTCTGCAATTCAACATAAGTAATAAATATAGTTATGATTATCTTGACGAATTATAATTAACAGTCGATATTATAAAGACAATTGAAATTGAACCATGAAAATACATAAAATAAATGTCTTCTGTCTACTTCTACTATATTTGAGAAAACTAGTAAATCTTTGTTTTATATGTTATTATTCAACTATTATGTAGTTAGTATATATAATACTATTATTATGTTCATTAAAATTGACTGTACAGTCTCATAGTATTAATTAATTGTCATATTTAGCAGTTCAACAATCAATGTAGATTACACTGTTAATTTCAACGACAACTGTCAAGTCAGGTTGGCCGAGTGGTCTAAGGCGCCAGATTTAAGCTCTGGTTCCCGAGAGGGAGCGTGGGTTCGAACCCCACACCTGACAGACAGTCGATAATTTTTTTGTTGCGTAATTTATTTTGTTATTAAGATATAAGAACTATATAATGATTAAAAGATAATCTAAATATGACTATCCCATTTCGTCAAAATAATTAAACACGGATTTTTTTTAAGATATGACGAAGAATCCGAGATGTAAATTTGATTTAAATACCTATTATCAATTATTCAAATAATTGATAATATTCAAATAATTCCAAATACTAAACACAATACGTACCTTGAGTTTTTTAACCCTCAAGGTCTGCGTGTAATGCTGTATTTCTCGTTGAATTATGTGTGAAATACATACTAATAGCAAAAACATCAGATTCAACAGTCATCACCAACAAATTACCGTGGATTACCCAACAATTAATAGGTATATAGGTTCTTTGCCATTTCATTTTAAAATTTCCTTCTGGCGCAGTCAGCTCTGTATAAATTTAATTAATAATTAAATTTAAAACAAAGCGAAACAAAATATATTTTGACTTATTGACAACCAAATTGATACTTATTACCGGCAAGCAAGGTTTATATTCGTTTGGATGACAGCGTACCCGGTATTCACTCCCCCAGTCTAGACTTCTGGGGTAGGTAATATCCTGGGACCCTAACTTTGTTAATGTAGGTGCTTAATATGCAAACTAAAGTCTTGCGGTTTCATTAGTAGAGCCAGACTACTTTTATCTTCTTATATATGAAATTCTCGTGTCACAATGTTAGTCCCATACTCCTCCGAAATGGCTTGACCGAGTGTTATGATATTTTATATGCATAGGTCTGAGAACCAGTTAATATATATTTTTAATGTCCCTAAGTGATAAGGGTTGTCCACACGTAACATTTATTTTTACCTTTTGGACATTTTTTTTATAGTGAGGTATAAAAAATGCATACAATCCAAACCCTACAATCTTTATTTCAGACTAGCTGTACCCGCTACTTCGTCCGCGTGGAATTGAACTTTATTTTTCTTAAATAAAGTATTTTTTCTAAAATAAAAGTAGCCTAAGTTACTCTTTGTTACATATGCTACTAAGTGCCACTCACTCTTTGCGAGTGAATGGCACAAAGACTGAATAGCAACGGAAAAGCGCTGTTTTTAGACCTATTCTAATGTTATTTCCCGCAGCTGTCGTTTACAGCTTCACCGTACGATAGGGGGCGAGTGTAGATGGCACTCCAAATCTGCGGAAGGACTTATGGAGTGGTTGAAGCCCAACTCCCGCCAGTCGGATACGACTTTACTCTGAAAGCGGTTTGGTTTGCCAATAGATACAAGCTAAAATCGATATTCTTGGGTTTTTGTATGAATCAAACGGTGTATTGGTCCAATGACCTAAAATCACATGCATATAGCTAGTCGATGACATATGATAGAATAACATTGTGTTTATTTCTAAAATATAAATGTTGTAACTGGCTAATGAAGAAATGTTTTATATTCTAAATTTGTATTTAAAATTTATAGTTCCTTATGTAGATTCTTGTTTTGTTACTTCAAATTTCTTCTTTCTATTCTGTTATGTCAGTAGTCTATATTAATTTATATTTTTCTCCCTTTACCTAGTCTTTTTTATTATTACATGAATAAACTACAACAATAAAACCGTTATTTGTGTTCCTTTATGATTTCCGGAAATGTTTAGTTTCCTTTATCAACTGTAATTATTTCCGATGTATCGCATCATATATATTAATTTTCCACCGACGTTGTCAATATTAATTATCTATAATAATATACAGTTTACAAGGTTGTCTGTTTAAACGCTCTAACCTCTAGGACTGGGAGGAAAGTGATTGCTAGTAACGTGAACTAATTACTCCATAGCAATACACCGAGTCAGGTTGACCTATACGCGGTTCCTCTTAAAAACATCGTGAATTCCAGGTGAATTTGTCACAATGAGCCAACTAACCTGACCTCATTCTCATCTTATCGTCCTCCACTGGTGCCCCACACAGTTAACGCAGGTGGGTGCATCATTCCATAATCAACAATAATTGGGGTGAAAGGGGATTGTTTGTAATGGGAATTGATTATCTTATTGCTAACAATGTACCTTGTCAGATTGACTTCCACGCGGTTCCTCCTGGAAACCATCGTGATAAATTATTGATGATAAATCATTGTCACGATGGGCTAACTGACCTGGCCTCATGCTCATTTTATCATCCTCCACTAGTGTCTCGTCAGCGTAAACCATTAGCGCAGGCGGGTGCACCATTTCATTATCATCCATAAAAAAATCATCAATATTTTTTTTACTGATTACTGGAACTATGAAGATTTAAAATGACCTTTTTTCATTTGATGATGAAAATTATGTCTAAAAATAATGATAAATTACCCTATGGTCCTCGTAGTTTTTTACTAAACCTCTCAGCGTGTAGTAAAAAGAAAAAAAAAGTGGAAGTTGGCACTTAGTTAATAATAGCAATAGTGGGTAATGCAATATTTACCTCTAAAGATGAAGTTGTATGCGATATTCTTTAAAAAACGGGACGTAAACCCGCGGCTCGCACTTAGTATGGCCATGGCCACTAACTCAAAACACACTCACACACGAGCCGGCGTCCTTTAGGTGTGAATGTGTTATACAACTATTGTATAATGTAATTTAAACTCTATTCCTTTCTGTTACGGTTGATAATAAAGAATACCTCGTAATCGGACACCCCGAGATAAGTCCGCAGAATCACAGACACCGTAGTAATTTTCCTTGCTTTGTTTACACGGCAACGCATTATAGTTATTGCGCAGTTGATATTTTCAGTTTGGTATTGAATGTTTTTCTCACAAATACACAAATAAGCCAATGTTGATCTTGATTGATGATCATATTGATCATTCATACTTAGTTACCTTGAGATAACATCGGAAATGGTCTACATTGTAGTCTCATTTCTTGATTATGATGAAATGCATATATATTATGACATTTTTCTATATCTCTATCTATATCTATACATCTATACATATAAATAAAGATATAGTGTCTGTTTGTAATATTGAAATAACCGTTTTTTATTACATGCATATGAATATTTATATTCATATGCAACATATACGAAAATAACATTTTTTACAATTTTTGTCTGTATGTCTGTCTGTTTGTTCCGGCTAATCTCTGAAATGGCTAGACCAATTTTGACAGGACTTTTATTGGCAGGTAGCTCATGTAATAACTTATTAACTTGGCTACTTTTAGAAATATTCTCTAATTAACTTTTTTGTTAAATTCCACCTAGACGAAGTCGCAGGTACAGCTAGTTAGAAATATAGCTGAATCGACATATTTTTAGACCAATATTTATTTATACAAGATAAAAAATATTGTTATTCTATGTATGACCAAGTTAAGAAGAATAAGTGAAATTTCATAAAACAAAAAAACAGTATAACCAACTATTAATCAACCTGAAACTGTTTACCCTACATCGTATACAGTCTTTACCAACAGATTAAAAATTT